AGGCGGGTGTTGGTTAAAAGCTTGGAGGCGGTGTCCACCTACTCGCGTTATCCACTGGTAATACATTCGCCGTTGGTGTTGTCTATTATACATCTATACGATCAAGAACAAGCTGAATCCTCGAAGAAAGGGCGATATAGGATCTACTTTCCTTCAATAAACGCGTATAAGAAGATAGGGATAGAGATTAAATGAAGCTCGGTGTTATGAGGCGCAGGTGATGAGCACAGATGGAACGTAGTGGGGGCGGGAGGCTCGGATCTCTTTCAGGATCTACTTTCACACACTAGTACGTAGTAGACGAGGAAGAAATTAAGAGCCCTAGCCCTCGTACCAATCCCTGAACCGGGCCTCCGCTCTGACTTGCCTTCGGTATGACCTTTCCTCGCATCAGTCGTAAGTTTTGGAAAACCCGGGCAGCAAGGGAAATGAATTCCTCGCTATTGGACGTAGCCCTTGGACCTGGACCTGCGCACTTACCGCCTACTCATGCCAAACACCTGTCTTGCTTTCAGCATCTCTACTAGCGCGAAAGCCGTTGCTTGTTCGGTCAAAGAGCTCCTTCGGAGAGGTGAGACCATACAAATGCAAGGAGAGGAAAGGTGAAATTGAGATATTGATCCGCTGAAAGATCTGTTGCCAGTGTAGATCGATGGGATAGGCGTGAAGGCAAATTCTTCCGGTTATCTGACTTTCCCTCGACAATGCCGGAGATGTTCTCAGATGCTCAACGATCGGGGGTTGAGCTGTCCATGTGAGTAGCCAGTTTCGAGAAAACCGAAGCTAAGGGTCGACGAAGTTGAGGCAGATGTGGCATTTATTCTTCTATCTCTGTTCATTCCTGAAAAAATGGCTGCTTTCACTGTAAATTAGTCTAGCTTTCCTTACCAAAAAGAGTCAATTGCATCTTTCCTCTCCTTTCAGTCGAGACTCACTTTGCTCTCCTCTATCCTTGATACAAGACCACAAGCTCGGTCTATGGGTAACCTCTTGGCATAAGAAGAAAGACAGGCTTCAATTCTCGAGCTTGGGTGAGTCGCCTAGCAACGAGTGGCCTTTACTGACCGAGAAAAAGAAGTTCCAGAGGCATCTTCCATTCATATCGATTTTGGTTTTTCCGCACCATATTTTGATCTGCAGGTAGGGCACTCGGAAAGGCTTTGTAAGTAAACCCATAAATGGGTCCGGAGTTTTCTTCAGAAGACTACAGCCGAAATACCATTCCCGAAAATCGAAATTCTTAATCGGCGGCAGGTCAATTATATCGAGCCTTTGGTTCGTTCGCTTGAGTCGCTCTTCCCTCTTTTGCAAGCACGAGCCAGAACTTAGATCGCTCTTACTCCTTCTAGCTCGCCTTTGAAACTAGTTCAAATAGTCGTGCTTATGTCGTGCTAACTTTCTGAAATTGCATACCTATACACGCACTTACCTGCTTGCTTGACCGCTGCTGTCGAAGAAGAAGCCGCTGTCCTATCCGCCTCAGCCCTTTTGAATCTCTAAGAAAGAAGAAAGCCTTTCTTTGCCGATTGGGAAGAGTTGTAGGCAGATAGTTCGGGTACACTTTGATTCCAATACTTGAAAGTTGATCGCTATAAAACCTCCGTTTATCTTTCCTTTTACAGCGGCTTGTCGAGCATTTGACAAACTCCAATTTCAGGCGGATGGGAAAAGGGACTAATAGGCCGACTCAGCATGACCGGAAGTTGGAATATCATTTTCTACACAAATATAGATAAAAAGAGAATGATATTACTCCCCTGCGATCAAGAACTTGGGAAAAAGGGAGAAAGCCTTTTCTTTCTTTGCGAGACTCGCAAGAGATTGAGCTTTTCGGTTTGCTCGGGTGTGTGTGGAAGTAGATCTCAAGAAGCCGCTGGTTCCGCCTATGACTATCGGTCAGCAAGAACAGCCTATATCTACGATAATAGAAAATCACAAGATTGAAAAAGCGGCTCGCATATAGTAATTAAAGGAGAGGAGCGAAACTTTCGATTCGATGTCAGCGGAGAAGACCACTTCTTCCTCTCAAGACCTCGCCACACTCAAGCTCAACTAGGCGAAATAGACTTTGATTAGTGCTTAGCAAGAGGCTTCATAACAGAAGACCTCTTCGTTACGCTTCCTCTCTGGAGTTGAGGGGGCACTGAGTGGGTTTGACAACTGGACTGAGCTAACGGACCAGGCTATACTGAGTATAGCAGGCGAAGAGGGTCATAAACATCGTAAGGCGCATTCTGACAAGTCAAAAGCCCCGCACAATTTCAGATTTCCTTGAACTGGCTAGGAACTTATGGGGAAAGAACTTTCCTCCAACGAGATTGTCAGTCAGCGGATGGTCCTACTATGACAAAGCTCCTTGTCTTCTCTCTCGCCCTAGAACATTCCAAACCAAAGCGTGGAATCATTTCATAGACCTCTGGGGAATCCATCCATAGACCGGTGAACTCGAACTAGCTGCCTTGCTCGCCTTGTCGTCATAGAAGTGAACGAATCTCCTGCGTCGAGAAGAAGTTCTACCTACCTGACTATTAACCGAAACCAAAGCTCTGATTTTCTGTTGAGTAATAGTTCGGATATCTCATCTCTCTCCCTACTTCTTTTTATGAGCAAGTGAGAGATTGGGAAAAAGGTAAAGGAAGGTTTTGCGAAAGAGATATTCAATGGCCTTTCATCAGCATTAACATAGGGCCTTCCCACTAATTCCGTTCTTTGTACCAACATACCTGCTTGACTTCTATGACTTCACTTCGCTTTGCTTCTAAGTTGGGTCGGTATACTAATAGCAGTCTTTTTTCTTTCACGGCACAAATGAGTAATGGAAGAACCCATGTTCCCGCCCTAGCTAGAAGAAAGAAAGGGTATGCCTGGGCGTAGAAGCCCTAAAAAGCCTAAGCATAATTCGGATCAGCCTATTCAAAGTAGTTCCCCGTGGAAAGGGAGAGAGCTGTTGATGGAAGAGGAATCACCGGGTTGTTCGGTTGGGAAGCTAAGCTCCTTAGAAAGGATTGACCTCAATTACATCGACCCTTTTGTTTGCTTTTCCTCTTTGTTACCTAAATTGATTCTTTGTTTGCGATTTTTTTCAATCCGGTTTCAAGGAAGTCAACGAAGGTACTCTCCCAAGAGTGGACCGAGTGAACGTCTTTCAATGTCTGTCTTTGTTGACTACGATCGACAAATTTTGACTCTCTGGTAGGCTTAAGTTCTTTGATTAAGGTTCTCCCAATTACATCGACCCTTTATTGCCTCGCCTATGTGAATGACGGGGCCGAGCTCAGCTTCTTTGAAAAAGATAGAAGGTAAGCCCTAGTTCCGGGTGTGAGCCATTGCACGGGGACTCGAGGGCTACGTTCAAGAAAATCGATCTTTCCGAGCGGGCATCTTATCATATCCAACCCGGGGGTCGTAGAAAGAAAAACCTTCTTTTCTGGTCTTTAAGGCGATCTTGGGAACCAAAAATATCCAGCTTTCGGTAGCGAGAGGAAAGTAGGTAGAACTCAAATCCTTCTTGGGCCGGTCGGAAGCCAGTAGCTAGTGGATCATACTCAAAGTCCTTCTGTTCCGTTCTTTTTCAGTCGTTCCCGATAGATAGGATTGGATTGAGAAACCTTTCTTGGTTTCCAGTAGTCTTTTCTTAGTAGTTGGTTGATTGCCTAACTCCTCTGGTGAGCGGTTAAGGCGCTTCGTTCCAGGTTTCAGAAAGAAAAGTCGTCCTGTTGCGTAAAAGAAAAAGAAAAGCAGAAGGAAAGGAATGAGCTGGCGGAGGAAGTTCAGTTAATCCGAAGAGGAGAATAAGTGAAGTCCCGGTAAGCAAGCCTCAACTTTGTCGACCATATTTAAAAGCGAAGCGAAGCAGCAAGAAAACGGATGCGCGTTAGCGCAACGGCTTTCGCGCTAGTTGCTCAATCCGTTGCTTGTTCAGTGAAGGAAAGGTTTAAAGATCTCGACTTCTATGACTTCACTTCGCTTCGTTCGTTGGGTCGATGTAACCCGGTTCAAATATGCTCGACCAAAGATAGAGGTTCGAAAGACAACCAATAGGAGATAAGAGTCGCGAGCAATCTTTCTACTGACTGATACCAGCCGGAGCAGGGGACGTGGAAGTGGTGCACACGAATGAGGAAGAGAAGTAGGGATGAACGCTTTTTTCATTCGCCATGCGCTGACTGGATTCGGCATCACCTGGAATTGGACTCTGATGAGAAGTTTCATCCAGAGGTTTTCTCCCTGTTGGGGGGCTAAACTCCGGCAGCCTTCATTTAGTAAAGGCCACCTGAAATCAAAGGGATTCCTGGATATTTGACTTCGCTTCGAAAAGTTTGCTTAACTCTTTTCGCAGCCTAAGCCTAGGAGAAAGCGGTCAAAGTCAGGTCAGACCGAGCTGGTTGAGCATGACATTTTTCTAACTAAAGCCAAGTGAAGCCCTTTATCCGACCTTTGCGCAACACAAATGNCCAATGAGTAGTTGATGAGTTGAGTAGCTCTTTTTCCCTCGTTTCTCGAAGCCTAATTCGATCAAGGGAAGAAAATCATACCACGTCCCACCAAGTCAAAGAATAGATGATTGACAGTCTTGGTATCCGACGATAGATCCTGTGCCTGCCTGTATAGAATGTAAAAGATGAAAGTCAATATCAATTAGATGGAGATCAAGCATTGCAGAAAAAGGCTTCTTATCCACTTCCAGTCGATAGAGCTAAAGGACTCATTCCCACCCTCGACATACTAAGGAAAAGGGCGGATCCAACTAGGGAGGGTTTCAAGTAGGGTAGGGAGCTTTAGCGGTAGAAAGGGGTGGCTTTCTCAGCCAATCTAATAAGCAGAGGTCAAGAGCTCTTTGTTTACCCAGGGTTTCCTGGTGCCGGTGCCGTTTTTTGCAAGATCGAAAAGGCTCTGTTCTCTGTCAGAAGAAATATATCAAAGCAGGACTTTAGAACGTCACTTAGCTCCTTCTGGAAACCTATCGGGGGGAAAACTTCTTTCATAAGTCCGCTGACTTAGGATTACGCTACCCTTTCCCCTTTCATTACCATGCCAGTCAGATAAGGAATCCATTGGAAGCAGCGAGTCCTACGGTTACACCAAGTGGAGTTCTTTCGTATATAAGGAAACTCATTGGAGCTTCTACTTTTTACGACCTGGTCGACTTGTCTATTGGACTTGAAAAGGGGCCAGATGGCGTCTACATTAGGCTCCGATAGCCCGGTTTTTCAAGAACTGCTACGTCTAATCCAAGAAGACAACTGAGCAAGATAGCTTCCCTTGAGAGAGATCGAGATCACCTACGTATTGATGATTTTGTTAATAGTATGATTAACAAATGCTTTTGGGCTAGAACCTTAAATATTGCAATAGTAGGCCGAAGCGGCGCTAGTTTGAATTCTTCTAAGTTTCGATTTGATTGGTCTTCCGTGTACTGCACCTTTGCTTAGATCAACATAGGCAGAACAGAAGGCTTTGAAGAGTTGGCATCTAAGGAGCTGGAGTATTACTTAAATCCACTCGATGCCTCTTTTTTTGAATGCCTGGGATGGAGATCATATCTTGATGCGTGTATCGTACTGCTATCCAAACAAAGATTCATTACCTACCGACCATGTTCGTTCTCTGTATTGGGCTGGGCTATATTACGCTATCGATAGAGGAACTTGATATGCGAGATGCGATGCCACTGGTTGCAAAAGGAAGGGCCAAGCTAGGCAAGAAAAGAAATTTCGTATTCGTATATAGGTTTTTACTTCTTTCCTTGGAACGGGAAGTCGCATACTTACTTGAGCAGTGCGGGAGACTAGCTAAAATGGGACTAGAAAGAATCAGAGTGAAAGGCATACTTTCGAAAATGCCATCATCAGATTTAGTTGAGAATAGCACTAAGGAAATGGGCGCTTCAACATTCCTTGATCGGATGCAGTACTTTAATGCCAAAGAGCAGCTCGGAATCATAACTCTTAGTGCTACTTCCTGTCTTCTTTAGGACTAAGAGTTTGTACAAAGGATAGGGCAAGAACAATGACAAACCAAGGGCTTCTACCGCTCAGGAGACATCCAAGCTTCGGATCAAGCTAAGGATAAGGATCAAAGGAATAAGTAAGATCAGATCAAAGGTCGGATCTGTCGGAATCGGCATCGGCTAACTCTGTGCCAGCAGCCGAAGAGTATGAGACTGGGTTCAGAGATGCGGACACAACGTCCGAAGATGTGAGACTGAAAGGGTAGGTTCGAGAGGACAAGAGACGAGGATCGGCCGACTAAAGCGAGATGGTATAAAGGCGACTAAGCCGGATAGGATTCCTCGCCAAGGTCTGAGGATGCTATTCAATAGGGGCGAAAGCTGCTCGACTTACAAGGAGAGGGGTGAAGGGTTACACGCCTCTAGGGGGAGGAAGGAGGTGGCATTAGAGTGAGTTACAATTGACAATGAACTAGATCTATGAAGAGACAGAAAGGGTATCTATTGATAGAAGATGGGATAGAAGAAGAAAACATTCGATTCCCTTAATCTAATAGCAATAGTTCAATGAAGGAACAGATCTTTCTCGGGTCTAAACTTAGTAGGGATAGCCTACTCACTTTCCTGCCAAGCGAGGTCTTGTCATGTGGGAATTCACTTATCACTTAGAAAGTACATGGTAGGCGACAAAAGGAACTACTGAAAGATTTTCTCGTCGAACTAGGACCTCCTGTCTCGTGCCTATTGTACGTCAGTCTTCTCCCTCTATCACAACTATAAGAGAAAGAGCGGCCTCTAAAGATCTCAGCAAGACTGCTAAAGAGGCGCATCTAAGGGAAGACACCGATAGGAGAAAGAAGTAAAGAAAAAAGCCAAGCAAAACAGAGAGCGAAATAGTACCAGAAAGCAAACTCTAAAAAATAGGAATAGAATCTTGCCAGCAGACTCCTTGATGTTAAGTGCACACGTCGAAGGGGATTGAGTGGACATGGTAGATCCTAATAGGCGCTTGCTCTCAAGCAAGCCAGAGCCAGAGGGGATAAATAGCGAGTCTAAAACTAATAACCCGCTTCAATTGCCTCCATAGAAACCCCAATAGGAAGAGTGAGCCTCCAGTGGTAAAGAAATTGGGTGTACCAATCCTCATATCGTCAGCCTATAACCCTTCTTCTTTTCTCTGCCTTTTCTCTACTGAGTTAAAGCGATCGAGCAGTCAGTTACGATCCAGTGAAAGATCTAAAGTAGCTTTCGAGCGAGGGGATTCGATACGAACTTATACATGTTTATATGAGAACCACTAGGGCGTTAGAGTTTTTTCTTTGAGTTCAAGCGACAAAGCGATATAGTGGATTGGTTGATTCCCTGAGCTGTAAGGTGGGTTTGATCATTCCTTTGAAGGAGATATCCCGCTTTCGTCCAATCCATCACGCTGTAAAGGACTTTCTTAGAAAGAAAAGTAGCAGCTGGCAAGGCTTGAAAAGAAAGGAACTACTGCTACACTGGCAACTACACTTGGAGTGCTAGAAGGTAGTAACTAGATCACAAACGTGCTATTCCTTCGCTTCTTTGCTTGCGCTTCTGCTCGACTTGATCGTTCTTGCTTTCTCCCTTCTTTCCCCGCTGCCGGCTCTTTCTGCTGAGGTCTCTGTACCGGTCGCTATTGAGGACAGGGTAAGGGCTATGTTCTTCTTAGCTTTACTCTCCTATTGATCCTCGGCTTTGCCCTTCTGCCTGATCGTTCGAGTGATTCTTCTTTCTTTCTCCTGTCCAACCGGATTAGGAATAGAGTAAGATAAGGGCCCACCGAGAGTTAGTTGTACTCTAGAGGTTCCTTCTCTCTTTCTTCTTTCTTTAGTGGACCAAAGTTCCAGCTATAACCAAACAACAGTTTTGCTAAGATTTCGTGCCACTCTTTCAATCAGTATCGAAAAATCAATCATTACTGTTGCCCCAGGAGCAGCTGATGTTGAAGCTGTGTTCGACAAGCCCAGCACCCGACTTCTTGTTGTTCGGTAGATCGGAATCTCATAGAAGAGAGAGTTATCATTTGGTTGATCGACCCGATTCGTCGAATTCATCCCCTAGTTTCCAGTTCTCCACACGGATTCCCATTCCCAGGTTTGACGGGTTGGGAGGACATAGGCTAGGCCTCCAGTCCGGGTGAAGGACATGCGTAAACCACCGATTTCAACCACTTCCTCGTCCATTCATCCGCAGACAGATGGGCAGACTGAGCGGATCAATGCACTGTTGATGAAGGCGTCTGCCTATTACTATTAATAGTTGTGCTCAGAGAAGGTTTGAGTTTATTACTGAACTGAAGGCCCAGTTTCAAGATACAAGGGACAGACACGGGTTTTAGCAAATTGCTCAATTTGAATCTACCTTTTCAGAGGCAAAATTGTATCACAACGAAAAATGCCGAGAAAATGAAAAGTCATTTCAAGATCTGCCATCCGATTAGGCGAGGCGAAACCCAACAACCCCATCTACCGCAGGAAAACTTCCAAGTCCAATATCGAAATCCCCTCGAGTTAGATCGATTGTGGACGAGAAACTACTAAATCACTTGGTTCTTCGACCTTGGATGAATAGCTTCCTGGGGCTGATACCCCAACTAGTCAATCCCTTCACTTCGCTTCCCTTCGTTCTGTTTCTGTTAGTCTCACTTCTTCTTGACTTCACTTCGTGTCCTTCGCCTTGGCTTAGGGGCCTATCTACACTGGGCTATCCTTCACGCCTAACGGCGCCTACACCTTCGGACCAAACCTGGGTATCTTTCGCCTGTTCGCTGCTACGCTACTTTGCTCAGCTCGTCACCGTATACTCAAAGCCTAACTAATAGGTTCTGCTACATTCGGACTGTTCGCTTAACTAGAAAGATCTCCAGATAAGAAAGCGTCTGTTCACGTTTTTATATTTAGTTTATGTCGCTAACAAACTGATACCGCTTCGCTTTCCGATGAGGAATCTTTAGTCGTTGAGGTTTTTCATATGAGTTCGGATTCCTATTCGAAGAGTGCATCAAAGTCTGGATTGAAGTGTGCAACTTCATCTTAGGCTAATCAGTTGGTTGACTCGCTAACATGATATTTCTGACTTATCCGCCATCAACGGCTGGGGGTGAAGATGGAGCCAGTAACAAAGATCAGGCGCGGAAGGTACAAACGAAGCGAAGCGAAGCGAAGTGTACAAACTTTTCGAAGCGAAGTGAAGTCATAAAGAGATGTCGGGGAATCGATCAAAGTCTGGTTGAAGGGGCTGTAACTAGCTGAAGATGAGGAAGTAGGCGAAGTCCGGGTTTAAGCTCCAATGCTACACAAAGCTGAAATCCCTAACGAGGGAAAGGAGTGAAGGTCAAGCAAATGACTCGGCTTACCCTAACGGGTCAGTCAAGTGAAGATATTTTTCTTTTCCACCTGCGGGCTTTGTAGTGGAAAACTGTAGCCCGCAAATGCTATCTCACAACTTCAAGATATATGAATGAGTGCTTCCTTCGGGCAATCGACCCATCTGCCCTTTGAATGTACTCGTACTGGACAGGGTTATATATACCCCTACCTGCCCCTGCTTAAAGCTCTCAACCCCGCCCGGATATGTTCTGGTAAATTAACCTTCCCTTAAGCCGAAGATCAAGAATTCGCGAGATAGAAAGAAAGATTGGTTGGTGGGCTGTTTAGCCTCCTCTAACTTAAAGACAGATAGCGGAAAGGCGAGCAGCTATAGCATCATTGTTCATCATCCCCTCGCTACCGGATTAGTTAACTCTACCCAACGAACAAAGCGAAGCGAAGTTCAGTCAAGATTTGGGTGCTGGATTCATTTTGATCAGTCCGGATGGGCACGAGCTCACCTATGCACTCCCTTTTGAGCTAACAGCATCGGTTATGCCATATTCTCTAGCAAAAGAACTGACCGCGACTAGACCTCTTCTACCACATCAAGAGGCCGAGACCGCATTTGAGAAAGTTTAGCTATGCCCAGAGCTCTTTCAAAGGAATGCAGTCTTTTCAAGAATAAAGTCACACCGCTAATAGGCTAACGAAGAGATTCCCAGCTAGCTACTCACCTAAAAAGACTAATATTAGTGCCGAAGAAAGCTAAAAGGAGCCGTAGCCGTATACTTTATATACGCTAGCACCATAGCAAGAAAAGAAAAGAGTCAATTACATCTCAATTACATCGACCCTTTGGGATGATAAATGACCTACTTTTTTATGACTTCACTTCGCTTCGTTCGTTGGGTTGACTCTTGATAGGCCCGTACGGGGGCGGGGTCTTGACCACCGTAGAATTCCTTAGAACCACGAGTTCAAGAAGTTGTCCTGAGGGGGCGAAAGATTCGCATTGAATAGAAATATCTTGCTTGAAATCTGAACTTCCCCTTTACCCCTCTCCTTTTAGTCTCGCCCCTTAGCGTCCTCTCCTTGACGTCGAGATCTCCTTAGCGGCCTCGGTTTCAGAATCAGTCTCGTCTCCGGTTATTCACATACGAGATTTCGTAAACAAAGGAATGCCACCTACAACTTTTCAATCAGCCGGCGGGATATCGTGAAGGGAGACCAAAGATGGAGATACGATTTTGTCCGAGAAAAAGCATTTTGATCTCCTGCTGCTAAATAAGAGACGATAGAAGCCGCCATGGCCGAGGAATCTCTTAGATCCGAGTTCTTTGATTCCGAATCAATCTTTTGGCAAGAATGCCCCTGCGCGCAGAATTCATTACTTCTTAGCTCGGGTTGAGTGGTGAGTGCCGTTCACTGATCGCTGGAGTGCAGGCCCGCAATCCGATCTTAGGCCGCATACATCTGCCTGTGACCTGCCCGCCTATCGCCCCGTATTCATATTCTACTGATCTTTCATAAGGAGAGGATACGATACAAACGAAGCTAGCGAACTAAGGCTTTCTCCGATAAAGGAAGGATGACGGCTGATTCAATTGCTTTTTTCATCTCATATAGCTGCAAAATCTCATTACTCACTTTTCCCTCTACGAATCTCATTTCAATTCGACTTTTTTCATCTCATATAGCTGCAAAAGTTGATAACTATATTGACTTTTCACTTTTTATGACTTCACTGCGCTTCGCTTCGCTAGCTTAATACTCTTCGATTACATTCACTTCGTTCTCTTAGTCTCACTTCGCTTCGAAAAGTTTGTATCGTTCCCTCCTGTTCGATTATTATTATTGTCTTCTGTGGCATAGCCATAGCATTTAGGTAGCTCACTGCTTCCCCTTTGCTCCCATCGATTGGGCTCGCTCCTAACTATTCCGGATTGAATCTGGTTAGGGCGCCTGTCTTCTGTGTTTTGTCCGTTCTTGTAGTTGTTCTTGTCCGATCCCTTGTGGTAATACCCAAAAGAGAAGTATAAAGGATCTGCCCTTCCTGTAGCCAATGTTGCTAATGCTGCTCCTGGTGCTGAAGTAGCTGCCCAAAGGGATGGAGAAAACCTAGGGGTGAAAGCATCGATTCATGGATTGACATGTACATGTTCAGATCCTGCTTCTGAAGTAGTTAACTTTTAAGTATAAAGTCTGAGTCTGAAGTATACCGCTTCCTTGTTCGTAGCCTCTACCTTATCCCTTGCTGAGCTCAAAAATGAAATTTCAAATCCTATAATAAAGAAGAACGCACGTAAAGAGGTGTTCACGCGCGATCCATCCTTTCATCTTTCCAAGGTGCCTTAGATGTAGGTTTTTGTCTTGGTCAAGAGCAGGGGAAATATCTTCTTTAGTTGTCTTGCCCGGCCGGAACTTATGAGTAATTATCTGTCTTACTTACTAAAATGACTGGTCGTAAAAAGTATGTCTCCCTCTATGACCACCTCCAAGAGTAGGATCTGTGCTAAGTGATACGGTAGTTCTGGTCCCGTCTTCGCTTGGGCCTCTTCAACAGGAGAACTACTTTTATCCGCGCTTAACACATCCACATTGGTGCTGCAACTTGGTCATTTATGAGGGGCAGTGGTAGCCGATCCACTGGCCGAACTTAACGAACTTTCGGGAACCTTTCCTCTTCATTTACGCTTCCCCTATTGAAAATGACCACTTTATGAGGCGCTTTCGTAAACCAATCCTCTCTAAAGAGGAGTTCCTAAATGCCAATAGTACTCAGTATACGCGCTGAATAAAAAAGCTCGAAGTACCCTCTTTCTTGAGCTAATGAGCTAAAGGGATCCCCTGTTCATAATACGCATCAGGTAAGTGAAAGCAGATCAAAGTGGCCAATGTTCCAGAGCCGAGTTCGTAGTTTCGGATCCAGCAGGAGTGAAAGTAAGTCTACCTGATGTCTCGGATGTATACGTTTTCTCAAGTATCGGGTTTGTGTGTAGTGTACCGTTCCAGATCTTGTGTAGCCAATTGCTTGTTCCTTTCACTAAGACTTCGGAAAGAAAGAACCCAACCACTACTATCAATCAGGAGTGTTCGGAAACATTGATCCAAACAGGACAGGTAAACGACTTCATCTTCCTTATCGACTTCGAATTTGGCTTTTGCCTTTTCACTACTAGCTGGAGTTTCCTATCCCTCTTTACTAGCAAACCGATTTGAGATTGCTTTTGAAGATGTTACGTCTCTATCAATCCGACTCGTATATAAATTTAAATGCTTGCTCTGTCTTTAACTCTGGATTTCCAACATATATAATAGAAATCTAAATTAATCAAAATTTCTTTGCTCAGTCTTTCCTAAATTCTGTCCTTCTGAGTTCCTGTTCCACAACGATCGAGATATGGTGCTTAACTGAGCGCAGGGAGAAGGGCTGCTACATTGATATTGCATAAGCCTAGCCACAACCTATCATACTGACTCCCGGGGGTAGGTGCGGGCGAAAACGCTACACCAGCGGCCGGGGTAGGATTGAGAGGTTTCAGTCGTCCCCCCGTGAGCGGAGAAGAACCTCCGTTCTACGCTAAACTAGTAGAATAGGCCAAAGTAGCAGCTGGAAGTCGAATTTACTAACCTAATTGGTAAGTCGCGGCGACAGAACCGTCTGATCGAATCAGGGTGTGTTACTTTCAGGATTGGTGGTTGAAAAAAGGAAGAGGCGAGCGCCGGATGCGAAAAAGGCAAGTCCTATAGCTGATGGAAATGGAACGGGTATCCCTTCACTCCTTTCTTTCGAAGCCAAAACCTGGAACAGGGACCACCCACAATGTAGTCCGGTTTCAAACCCGACTGATAGAATCCAGGAGTTATAATTAGCGCCCGCGGAGGTATTTAAATATGAATATGGTAGGATCTGGGGGGATTAAGGATCGGTGTATCTCTTGGGCAATGGAGTAATCCCTTCCTACCAAGCAATTTCTAGCTATGAGAGGAATATACCAAATAAGATCTAGAGCTAGGAAGTAAAGATAGTAGAGTTGGGGAGTTTATTCTAATGGGTGGATCAAGAGGCAAGTCCAATTTCTATTGAATAAGAGCAAGGTATCTCCTAATGTCTCGATCTAGGTAGAGTAAATAGGTTCCTAATAAGAGAGGAATTCTCTATCCCTACGGAGCTAGTAAATAAAACGAGATCGCCCTTCTGATGACGTCCCCAATACCTCCAGTAGCCCACCAGCCGATCCAGGTCTCAAGAGTCAATTCCAAAATCTAGCGACGTCGGATCGGATCTAGGAAAGTCCTCTATCTATGTCAGATTTAGTAAGTAAGATCTAGGAGCTCATCCCTCACGCGCGCATATATTCTATTTATATGCTGGAACCCCGAGCACTGGAGTAAAGCGCTAATACGAGCGTCTTCGAAGTGATATATCCAAAACTAGAGTTTCGAGGTCCTCTAAGGTGAAATTCCCTAACTCGAAAGAAAGGTGGCTTGCTTTTTCCGGCTTGTCTCCGACCAAAGGTGAATTCCCAACCCGAGGTCAGACCGATGTAAGATCCCTAGCCTGGCTGTCTTCGGACCGGACCTCAGGTAAACTTAATAGCTTCTGAGCGCTCTCCTGCCTTTCTGAGAGACCAAGACATAGAATGTTGGAAGACCAGAGAAGAGATAAGAGCGGGAAATCTCCCTTGCCATAAAATAAATGAGCCCTATATTTCTTCCCATAAAACCAAGGTTTGGGGGTGCTCGCTTATTTCTGATTTTTCGTTTGTGAAATTCCAGATGTCTTGGTTGTAGCAATTTACTAATTTACTAGATGGCAATCTGTTGACGACCTTGGGGAAAGATCCCGGACTCTAGAGCTTCCCTTTCCAATCCTGGTGTTTTCCCCATCATATCTGGTTTTCAGACCGAAATAAAGAAATTCCCAACCCCAAGAATTCTATCCACAAAACCTTAGTTTGTATTTGTAGGTGCTTGCTTGTGATTGAGTAAACTGAGATGTACATTTCTAAAGACTCTTTCCCCCCATTTCATGTACAGGACTTCAAGTGGAATTCATCCCTTCCTCTGAACGAACCCGGGTATTCAAACTACTGATTTGAAATCAACTCTATATATGCTTCAAAACTGGGTCCTTTGTTAAGGGGTTTCGCTTTAACAGTTGGAAACAGATCGCTAGAAATCCGAGTTCCAAGCTCTCTAACTCATCTTTTCGGGCTGGTCCTCAATCCTTATTGGATCTAAACCTGTAGGAGCTGCTTACTTCGAGCGGTATTCGAACTCCTATTATCTATGCCATTTCATAAGGGACTTTCGGAATTTCTTCATTCCCCAAGGCAAGGGGAAGACCTATAGAACCCAATCCCCGCTTCTCTTCCTCTGACTTAACCAAGTAGGGGTAATCGCTTTCAAAAGATTGGAACTCTCTTTATTTTGATTGATTGACTAAATCTCTGAGCCGGTTTTCTCGTTTGCCTCCCCTTGTTACCTCGGTTTCCTAGCTTTCCTAGCTGGTATCTTTCCTGCTTTGCTAGATCCGGTCGAGGGCATAACTTCTGCTTCTGAGCAGGTTGTTACTAATTAATAATTTCCCAATTCGGATAGAAGTGCAGGACAATCCAATCGGTTAGGCTGGGCTGGGATACCCATATAGAATAGAAAGATCTGGATCTGGTATAGCCCATAAAACAACTCCAATATTTCTTCCCATAAAACCCGAGTTTGTCCCCCCTTGCTTGTGATCCATCGTTAGGCCAAGTGTCTTAGTTGTAAGAACAGATTGACTAGATAATGTAATGTTGGCAATCAGTATCCGACCTCATGTAAACTTCCTTCGAGCTAGCGGCTTCAAGCCAAGATCATGAGGTTCTCAGACCAAAGATCAGGTCTGGAAATGAGCTAAAGCTCAATTACATCGACCCTCGCTCCTGGCTAGCAAAACCTTCTAAAGTAGGTGCTCGCGGGTGAATCATCGTTTGGGAATCTTCCAAGTGTCTTGAACAGATTTAGTAGATAATTATCCAATGAGTTTCCGACCGAGGGGCTGAGCTGAAGCGTCTTCAGGGCAAGCTCTTTCTCAGTTGGAGAATCTCCATCTCTTTTAGAAACAGAGTCTATTTGCACTATTTCCTCTCTATTAATAAAACGCCCTATGCCAAACACGTTCGTTATCGAAATCGTTTTGTTGATTCAGGTACCGCACCATCGCTTGTGTAGCGAATTTCCCCTTCCTGAACTAGGAAAAGCAGCCCCGAGGTACGAGTCGGTCCAAATCTGGAATTTCAACTTCTATTTTATAGATATGGAGAGATATTTAGTCCTAGAATATTCCTCCGTCATAGCTAGGGAATTTTCATTATCTAGTTAATCGGAGCATAAGAAAGAGGAAGAAAATGCAATCTATATCGAAGTCAGAATCCCTCAAGTCTACCTACGAAAGAAAGAGTAAGTAAGAGTGGTTGTTTGTCCTGTCGCGCGATTAATATTCATTCTTATCTGTCGAGCGAACCGTCTACTTTGATCGCATTCCCGATCCGATCTGAGAAATCGACCCATATATTTCTTCCCATCTCGGAAATGAGGTGAAAAATCCTGGAATACGAAACGCACGCAAACGAGGGCTCGTGGATGATATGACCTCAAAGATTTGGCACATGCCTTCGTTGGCACAAAATTTAGACTAATGGATTAGCCCTTTAAAATTGAAAATGAACCCAACGAACTTTTCGAAGCGAAGTGAAGTAATAAAGGAAAGATTCCACAAGATCAGTTATTGAAGACCCGGACCGAAGGCTACATAATGGGGAGCTCTAGTTCTTCCGGGCAGGCTCAAGGTATCGGATATTCCAGTATTGTATTAATAGCAGGGCAGGTTCAGGCTTGCGGAGCACAGGAGCGCTTGTTCCTACGGTTGTTTAAGACCCCAGCTTTAGAGTTATTCTTTAAAGATTCTATCCCTAATGGCTCGTACCTCGGGATACAGGACTTCAATAGATATGGCGAGAAGTACCATTGCTAAAGAGAATCATAGATAACGACTCTTCCTTGGTAAGACAGTTATTGGATTGGTATTCCTTGGGGGTTTGAATACACGTGTAAGGTATGCGGGCGAGGGGAACAACACCAGTAATAGAGATGCCAATACATGAGGATCAGAGAAGACCAAAGGTATACGGGTAGCGTGTGCACATCTGTGTTTGAAGACTTCCTTACGTTGTTTTCAGAAAGTCTAGCTCAATGGCTCGTACCTCGGGTATGGAATGAATCTCGTAGGTAATTAGTCAGGTTGATCGAGAGCAAGCTCCTAAAGAAAAGAGCTACTTTGCTTTCGCGCGATTCTTTCTTTTCGATTTTAGGAGATTGACTTCTTTCTTATTCGTATTGCATTGTCTTATTTCTTAGTCAAGAAGGAAAGAACTCTCTAAAGAAGACAAAGGTCGGAAACTAACAAAAGAATCAAAACAGGAACAGGCAGGTAAACTCCTTCATCTTCTGAAGCAGCCAACGACTTAATCTTCTGAATCATACTTATTGACTTCGAACTCAAAAGCAGGTCCTATCGATTTAGCTAATTCTAATTAATCAATCGCAGGAACTCTCGCTTTTCCTCGAGGCTAACCATAAATGGCAAAACAGTTCCACACCCCGATCTAGTCTTTGGGGATTCTACTCCCATTTGCGCCTCCCTTCTTTTTTATTATCGAATTCAGAAGATGAAGGAGTTGGCTCAGCTGTTTCGCCCCTGCTAGTACCAGCTTCGTTTTGCTTTTGTTATGCGAGCACTCCTGCTAATATTGATTGGTTTCTTTCCGAAGTAGTTAAAGAGAAGATGAGCATAAGATAGAGGCTAAGACTGAGTGAATTGGCTTTCTCCTTTCCTTTTGTCAGTGGAACTAGCTACACAAGTAATGAATGAAATCACTGAACACAATTCCAATAAATAAAGATAACATCGTCTAACATCGAAGTTCGATCAAATTGGCATAGGGAATTATCTTCCTTGATAGATAGAAATCAGACATATTCCATAAATATCTCTCTTCTAGGATTGGCAAGTTAGAGATTTGTAGCAAAACTACCATTGGATTGGAGATTAGGACAGAGAAAGCGCTTGGAACAGGTATCGCGTTAGAGAAAGGATCTTTCCAACTGAACTGATAAAGCAAAAGCACTAACTCGAGTTCCTTCAGTCCTTCATAAATTTCATATTCTAATAGAGTAGATTAGAAATCCGTAGTTGGAGTTGGAATGCCCGAGTTGGATCAGAGTAAGCATCTGTTCCTGTTAAGCTGGCTTGAGCACTTAAAAGCAAAGTACCAGGAAATGGGGAGAACTTTCAATTCCAGATTTCAATATATATTGGAAATAGAAGTGAAAATACCAAGGTCAATTATATCGAGCCTGATTAGGAGCTCATCTGGTTTTGGGAGTACGAGTAGGTATACGATGGGTAGATTAGGATTAATTCCTCTCTCTCGATCCTGGTAATTCGCCTGAAGTGGTGGCCAAGCAGAATAGCAGGAGTCGGGAAAGACTTTTGTTTACATTTGATAGATTGGGTTTGTGTTCCGTGTACCGAACCCTGTGTTGCCTATGCGAAGTTTCTATGACTGAAAAAAGCTTCCTTACTTCTTTCACTTGTCACTGGGACTTCTCTTTCTCTCTTCGATGCCGTCTGCGGAAGATCGGTTGCTGTCAGTGAACTTCTTTTGAACAAAGATTTGATGCTAGCTCGTGAAATCAAGACTTCGATCAAATCTAGCTCCTTCCCTCCCCTCTCTGCCCTTATGGCGATGCCTGGTTGAAGAAGATTTCCTTGCAAAGAAGGTTGAGCAACAGAACCCAGTTCATCTACAACATCCGCGGCCTTTCGGTTGAGTAGTTTTCACATCTTCCTGCTATCCATACTTTCCTAGTTTAGTCAGTTGGAAATTCCATTTAGTTGAGCTATTTCCCGGTGGGAGTAAATAAACGAATTTTTTTTAATAGATATACATATTATCATGCTTCCTGCATTGCGTTCGTTAATCAATGGTTCTAGTAGTTGGATGATATCGAGACATGGAGTTAACCCCAAGGTAGGCAAAAAGTGTATCCGGGTAGGATGGTGACCCAAGCGAGAGACTAATAGCTTCCTGTGCTTCTTCTTTCACTAGCATTTCTTGTTGGTGATGCTGCTTGCACCTTCTCGTCGAATAGGTAGTCTCGCTTTCCGGGTAGGTCTTTCTTCCCAGTCTATCTTTCTTGGGTCATTCTGCTCTGTATACCGAGTGAGTAGTCCCCTCCTGGGTATCGAGGAAGCAAGGCTGCGAACCTTGTAACCTTAACCCTTGCCAGCGGAAGGCCAGAGCCTATTGATGATGTCGAGATAGTCTTCGAAGCAGGCAAAGCTCTCTTCTATTCCCATTGTGAGCTAGAGCTGGGAAGGTCAATGTAGAGCCCTTCTCCTACCTCGATGGGACTCGTCGATATCGCTTCGGGCCGGAAGCCCTCCCAGGACTTCCTGTAAACACCCTACGCTTGTTCCGCTACCTAACTCATAGCTCAATAGCTTCTTAGCAGCCTAGCTCATAGCTCGGTGAAGTAGATTAATTAGAATCTCATCTCCTAACAACCAGCCCGAAGAAGGAGTTGAGTGTGAAAGCTGCAGCAAAGGTGCTACTAGCCAGTTTCTTGAGTGAGAAGCTGATGTTGGTGAAAAAAGGAAGTTGAGTTCAAGTTTGGAGCACATGGCATAAGCCAAAGATCCCGGGACTAAAAGCTAACGAGATGATTCTGGTTAAACCGGGCATTCCTGAGAGCAAGGGTCGATGTCATTGAGGCCCCAACAACGGCTATTTGAACACCGGTTACTGTACCAGCGGTTGCTTATTCAATTGAGAACCTAAAATGCCAATAGAGAAACTAGATTCAATTGGGTTTTAATAACTGCATTTACAATATAATGAAGGAAGAATCTGCGGATTTTATCCATGATGCATGTCTCCTGGATCTTGGCTTTGCGGGATCTCCTTTTACATGGTGCAATAACCGGTCCGGGGTGGCAAGAATATATAAACGGCTCGACCGGATATTGGTCAATCAATCCTGGCTGTCTCTTAATGTATCCACACCAGTTTCTCATTTGGCCTTTGCAGATGATTTGGTGATATTTACCCGTGGATTGCGTTCTTCGCTTAGGGTTCTAATGGATTTTGTGGGGGATTATGAACAGGCCACTGGCCAGAAGGTCAATAAGAATAAGAGTTTGTTCATTGCTTCTTCGCGCTGCTCTTCGTCGCAGGTGCGTGCTTGGTCCACTTTGGCAGGCATGCGCTATGGCTCATTACCTTTGCAATACTTGGGTGGAGTTGTCTTTGCAGGTCGCAAGAGGAAGCACTATTTCCAATTCGTGTTGGACAAGGTTGAGAAGCGCTTGGCGGGCTGGCAAAAACGATTTCTCTCATCGGGAGCAAGGTTGTTGCTAATTCGGCATGTATTGGCAGCAATTCTCATCCACATTATTGCAGCATTGGATCCCCCGAAATGGCTTTTCCAGCAGTTGGAACTTCGATTCGCAAATTTCTTGTGGGGCGAGTTGGATTCGGGTCCAACGAGGCACTGGAAACGTTGGAGCAGCTTGTGTTATCCTACCGAGGAGAATGGCTTAGCTTTGCGAAGCCTCCAGGATTTGTCTAAGGCTTTTTCCTGCAAGCTCCTTTGGAAATATACAGCAAACCAAGGGATTTGGGCCAACTTCTTGCATTCTCTGCCGGGGGGATGGGAAGACTCCTTCTGTGCGAACCGATCACAAGGCATTTGGTGGAGGATGTTTTCCNCCTGTTTGTTTTGGTGGGATAATTGGTCAGGGAAGGCTGGCAGCCCGTACGAGCGTATGATAACCTTGTGTTTGAAACTCCATTCCTGCCTTCAGGGTACCCTATACCCCAACCTTTCGGGTGAGTTACCAAGTCCGGTCATTGACTCTGGAGCGATCGAGTATTCTCGCTCTGGGTATGAGCTGTCTGATGGTTCAAGATCTGTCTACTCAACAACTAGTGGAAAAGAATATCCCCTCTCCTGCGGATCCCCTTATGCGTACCTGAAGCCTGATCGTTTTTCTCGTAGACCGCTCCTTCGGACCCTTTGCACTCACGTACGGTCCCCTTTTCTTTTACCCATGAAACTCACAGTTCAATCGATTCGGAGGGTTAGATGCGGTCGATTACTCCTTAGCTATGTTGGCTGAATTTTAAGACTTGGACAGTAGTTCGGCAAAGCCGGAAATAGAGAGAGATGTGATTAGATTAGCACGAGGAAGGGAAGAATCTTGGTCGTGGGATAGCAGTTTTTGAATCAGTCTCATTTGGCGTTCAATAAGTAGAAGATCAAGGCAGCTTCTGCTTTTAGGTCAGCTCTTTGGCTCCTTGCTATAAAGAGTGAAGTGACCTTCGGGCGAGGAGAAAGTCAGTAAGAATAGGACCGGAAACTGTGCGTTTGGCTATTGGTGAGTCTGTCTTTCTTGAGAAAAAATTGAGCCCCTCCATTTGGGTCATGAGACTAGCCAACTGTCTATCCCTGTGGGCTAACTCAACTTATAAGCTTGCTATCTTAGCATCCACTTGGGATAACCTTTCACTTGGATACGATCTAAAACGATTCCACATTCAAGAAAGAACCAGACCAGGCCAACCAAGAGATAGGATCAGATGAATTGAATCAATCGTTTTTGATATCAGAGGTAGGTGAAATCGAGTTAGGCACTCAAGGCATCTGTCTACGGCTGAAGGAAGTAGGCTAAGGCGCAATGCTCCCTATTTTCCGTGCTGGGTCAGCTAGCGCTTCGATTATTCTTTCCTAGGCTATTTCGTACGTGTAAGCTTTCGAAGTCGGATATCGAATGAGTGGATATCAGGAATGGTCCCACATCCTCCCTTTCTCCCTTCATGCTAAGACCACTTTGTGTACCGCGTCTTCTATCGCTATCTACAGTGATTCTCCCGGAGTGAGGACTCAGCAGGAATAGAATTGCCCGAGAGAAAGAAAAAAACAAGGTTCTCGCGGCCCTATCGAATCCGTTCCGGTCACTTCACAAGTTGCCTTCTCTGGCGCACTCACTCCCCGCTCACTTCTGGACCCGGTTAGTGCTCTTTGGTCTATTCTGTCTGATATGATATCATATAGCCAGGAAAAAGGGATCTACTAGTCATCTTGAGCTGGTAAAAGCATTTACCTGGAGTCGGCTATTCCTGATTCAGCAAAGAAACCTTGATCCGCTGCGGATTGGATTGATCCGGACTGACTCTATTATGATACCTCCCTCTGTCGCAATATCAATCGAGAATCGAGGTGACTCCGCTACCCTTATTCAGTTAGCATTCCTTGCTTGCCTTGGTCACATAGACTTGACCTGCTCCTGGGCAAGAGAGAGAGAAGGAAGCTTGGTTCGACCAGACATTGATCTTCCTCGGGAAACTCCCATGTTGATGTCGATCCAGATGACCTATCCTTTCAGTCAGAGGATCGGTAATGGGGTCAAATCCACATTCTTATTAGGGTGTTTTCGAACACTACTATAAGTGAGAACTCGAAAAGTAAGCTCCCTTATCGGTCGGTCTACCCACCCGGGCATTCCTCTCTTGCTTAGCTGCACCGGGCGAGTCTTGTCTTTGCACAGTAGGAATGGTTATCCCCTTTGAGCCATTATTCCCGTAGCTCGCCTTGCTCGGTATGAGTCTTGGCCTGCCGCGGAGGGCATTGCCATGTTCCGAGCCTTAGCAGGTGGGTTCCCACTCGGCCGACTGACAGACTCATTCCTTCTTCGCTTCGGTAAGGAAGCTTCGGTTTGTTCCGATATCCCAAACCTACTGTGAAAGAAAGAAAAGCTTCGCGATTGTTGCTGACGGTATGGAGCCATAGATTGGTCGCAGACCCTATTTTCGTCTTTACATGGGTCAAAGGGAAGTGAGCTATCTCGGTTAGCTGTTACCCTGTAAGAGCATCCTGTACGGATGATCTGTAGATGGGTTCTTCAGTCTTAGCGAGGATGTTTTGAACTGATCGCAGAGGTTGTGATGCAGTTGGTAGCTTCGGTGCTTCCCTTGGTGTCCGCCTTCTTGTCGCCCTTCCAGGAAATAACCCATCATACGCTAGCGTGCTTCGCCTTCCTGTCCTTAGGTACTCGCGGCACTCTTATCTACAGGACCGTTAAGCGCAGAGAATGAGCGAGGGATCTCTCTTCCCTATTTCCTTTTGGGTGTTTTCGAACACTACTATAAGTGACCACTCGAAACCTTCCAAGAATGACTATTTCTGAGATTAAACAAGGTAGGGAGGGGACAAACCTAGGACAAAAGCTACCCTTTAGGGTCAGCGTCCACAGGTTTGGCACCGAGCGCCGTCAACAAGCAGGCAAGCGGTCCTGTCTTCCCGGGGATCTGTCGTAGATAAGAAAGAAAGCGCTTCGAAGTTTCACCAACAAGCAACGGATTGAGCAACTAGCGCGAAAGCCGTTGCGCTAACGCGCATCCGTTTTCTTGCTGGTCCGAAACTAGAATAGCTGGAGTCGGAAAGGGCTCGTACCTCGGCTATTCAAGAGGTCAGGGGTATTCCCATCGGTCCTGCTCTAAAGGAGTTTCTCCTCGAATTAATATCGTAGGAAAGCCCATTTAGCTTTAGTAGTCAAAGTTTCAAGGTCTGGAGCTCACTCAGTATTCAACTCAACTGAAGCTGAAGGGGCAAGTCCAATCCGACTAGCATCGGTGGCAAGGGATCGCGTTGGGAACATCTAAATATGTTAATAGGTGTGGTAATCCTCGATCGCTAGGAGAGTCTTCAGACCCAGAGATGATATTAATGGCATAAAATAAAGAAATGTACAAGGAAGGCACCTCTGTTTATAAGCGAGTTACGATGAATCACTTAGATAGAGCTTAGAGGCCTGTCAAACTAGAGTTTTCTTAGCTCATACGAAGGGGTCGGAAGATAGCAAGGGAGTCCTTCCAGCCACTTTTGTCTTCCACCTATGTCTTTCTTGGACTAAACACCCGCTTATCCCATTCGGGTGAGAAAACCAAAACCGGAGGAAAGCGATCCTGGCGCGGGGATTATCCGCTTGTGGAATCAAAGAAAAGCTCAAAGCTGGTTTACTAAGTAGAAGGAAAAGAAACCCTTATGAGATGTGCTTTCTTTCGCGCCATTAATTAGAATTATGAATTCTTTTCCCTTTCTTGAAAGAGATTGCTTTATGAGTTAGTGATTTCTTTCATTCACTCGGAAACTCTTAGCCGTTGATGTTCTGTCAGATTCACTCCTCTTAGTTCTGAAAAGGTGGATTTGTGTGATGAGGGATTTCTTTCTTTTACGTCTTCAATGACCGGTCAAGTGGTGAAGTACTAATCCTTTAAAGAAAAGGTACGATTACCCGCGAGCGAGCCGATTACAAAGAAAGCTGAGCGGTTGCCCGTAGTTGAGTCAGTAAGAGCTTCAGTAAGAGAGTAAGAGCGGCAAAGGAAAGAAAGTCAAGATTGAGGGTTTTACCTATCCTATACAAGATTCCTCACGATCATTCATACGCCAGGTCCTACTTGTCTTAGTTTGGAATCTCTTACGTCTTGGGATACCAGGAGTGGGGATTCCCTTTCTTCCTTTCTTCTTTGGGTTGTGGAATTTCCGGATTCGGAGGACCTTCCTTTCGTAGTTTGGTATTCCTGTTCCGGATGCCCGCAAGTGAAGAGGTTTGGGTCAAGGGATCGGGTATTACCTGTATTCGGTTTTGGGAGTTGGAAAGTCTCCTTCGTCTGGGTTCTTTGGCTGGGATCGTTCCAAGCTCTAGGTAATTCCCCTCGTTTCGGAAGAACGAAGGCTGGCAAAGTTTTCTAACACGTCCGGTCGGGAAGGAAGTGAAAAGTATTGCGTAGTATAGATGGGAGTTAGGGGTTCTTCGCTCAGCCTTTGGGAGTGGAGATTCCTTTGCTTCTGCCTTTGGTCAAGGTACAAACGGGATCCCCTTACTTAGGTCTTTCTTTCAATTCGAATTCGCAAACCGAGTTCCTAATTCCCTTTCCCGAGAGAAGGAAGACAGGATGATCCCAAGCTTTCCGGAATCCGAACGTGCTACCACGCACTTTACCGACTTTCTTGCCAGCTCGCATCGTCACCCAGGACTGGGAATTCCGTATTTCAACTCGTAAACCTCGCTCCAGTTATTGTTCCTCAACCTGGCAGATCCGTCTGAGAAAGAAAGGTGCAACAGAACAAACAGCGTAGAGACCAATTCTGAGTCATCAATCGTCAAACTCTTAGATTTAAGGATCCCTCGCTTTCGGAATATAAGAGGAGCAGTGGAGAGGTATAAGTGGGGTAGCTTCATAAGTGGGAAACGGGGGTGAGGACGCTTTGGTTGTTCCTCCCTACGACTTATACCCCTACCCCTTGATGCCCTCGCTGCTGACAGATATGACCTGAGATGTCCCTAAAGGATGAAAAAAGGGCTCCTAGCGCGCCTACTTTATCTTTGCTTTGTGCGTGCCGCCTAAACAACTACTAATAACTGGGGTATATGGGAATAAGGGCTACTATAGTAGCAGTAGCCGGGGGTTCGCCTACTCTAAAAGATCAAGGGGAAAACAGAATTGGGGTGCTCAGGGAGTCTGCCGGTCGGATAAAAGGACCATGCCATGGGATCATTAGGTCTCCGCAGTTATGGGACGAAACGATCTTTTGATCACCAAGATTGGAACTGTGTTCTGTGATTGAAGATGAAATACTTGAGAAGACAGAGCTTTTTCCAGGTTGTTGCTAAACCCTCAGATTCCTATACATGGAGAAGCATACTTCGGGGTAGGGAAGTGTTGGAAAATGGACTGGGAATTTCTTTCCCGAAGGAGTCACTAATTAATAGCGCGTGCCCCCTCTTTCCGAGCTCTTCGGATCCCATCGATCAACCAGCAATCAAAATAGCTCCTAAAATCCTGGATTTCAAAAGGCGCCACCCCTTGTGCTTGTGACTGATCCATCGTAAATAAATCTATCGTCGTTTCTCTGGTAACAAAGAAAATATGGGACATCGATCTCATAGTGCGCGACTTTAGGATCCCTCATGAGTGAATCATCATCAAAATCCTCAACTCTCGTTCTTTGGATAGAAAGAAAGGGGTCTTTTCCTAACCCTGGCTCGAGGGTAATCTTCCTTGTGCGAAATAAGTGGGAAATCTGTCCATTTCTTATGCCATCGCTTTCAGTCCTGCTCTTAGCTTGGTAAGCTTGGTAGTTCTTCCGAAGCCAGGAGAATGACCCAAAGAACGGATAAATTCCCAATCGGTGACAGATAAATTAGCCGATCGACTCAATTCGAAGATCTGGGACTTCTGTACCCGCTTTAGCTTTCCTTCTTCGGACCGAGTACAGGTAACCCCAATAAGAGCTGATCTCCTAATCTGGATCTGTTCCTTACGCGTAACTCTAAATATGTTGGGGTGGGGTAAGAGTTGGGCGAAGAAGGTTTTATTTCCTGGTCCTTTTCTTGGCCATCTTGCTGCTCAGGAACCCCGGTCACAGAGCCAGTGGCCTCAGGATCATCATAACGAGGCAGTGACTCAGTCTCAAGGGAAGTCCTTCCAATCCACAATGCTACCAGTCAGAGGACGTGGTGCAAAGTAAGGAGTGGTCAAGTCTGGCACGTCCTGAAGGAATCCGAACTGACGCAGAACCCGTCGCTGTCTCGGCTGTGCTACCGGAAGTCGGAATAGGAGACCACTCGATCTTATCTCACTTCTGCATTTGAAGCTCAAATCACGTCTCCACACCTAATGAGTGCTTGCTGTGCTCTGGCTCCAAGGGTAGCCTAAATTGTTGTGTTGCACAGAACGTTAATACCGGGTTTATTTTGCAACTAAACTTAGGCATACACTGTACGGACTGAAGCCCGCCTCCGGTGAAAGGACCAAACCGCAAGAGGGCTATGCCCGGGAAGTAGGGCCGTAAAGAAGCTAGAAGAGAGTCTAACTGCACACTAACAGAAAGCGAACCTGCACTGATTATTTTCTTTGTTTTTCCGAACACTTGTAGTATTCAAAAATGGGTGGTTGAAGACCTGCCCAGACGCAGAAAAAGAAGACCTTTGCCCTTCGAAGGCCGATAAACCCACGTTTGGAAGCATCAATAAGATATCGTTAGGTGTCCCAAAGCCTCGTTAAAACTAGTTTAGCCTCTGAGACAAGATCTTAGTTCAGGCCTGCTTCAGTCTATCCATGTCTTTCTTCTCTTATGAGATTTTTAGCTAGTCTCTTCCTGGCCTGGCCGCCCATGAGGATCGGTTGTCGTGCTATTATGCGGTCGAGCGGAAAAAAGCCCAAGAGCTCCCCACGCGGGGACCACCTACACAGGCATACAGCTGCGCACCAGACGGGTGGAAAAAGAAAGAGCGCCTGTACACAACATAACAAAGCTTAACCTCCGTCTCAATAGACGGAACCAAGGCAGTTCCATATCGAGATAGCCGGGGAAGGGTACGAGAAGTCATCATATAGAGGACCATGCCCAGCAGCATCACGCCACCCATAGTCGAGGAAGAAGTGACTCGTAGCTCGATGCCAAGTTGAACTATCGTCTCCTCTGGTAATATGCATGGGTAATGAGTGAAAGCACTCAATCTAGGCCTGATAAAGCAGGCGCAATCTATCAACCACGTAGACCCACGGAGCGGTAGGATTGGGACGAAAAAATCCCATGTCCCCCAACTGCACGCGCTTGGCTCATCGCATCTCTCAACCGGGTGGAAAGCCTAGGAGCCGGAAATCAGACTGAATCCGAGACAAGAGATACATTGATGGCCTCGGATAGATTAGCTTGGATTGAGCTGTCCCTATCCCTATCAGTCGAGTGCTAATGCCCTCAGCCGGTGCTGCTTAGCCTGTAGCCGGTCTAGCTCTCGGAGTTCCTGGTATTAGGATATAGGGCTTTTCCTTGCTCTTTTCCCTTGCATCGAAGCTAAAATCCAAGAATGAGGAATGCCATGAATCAGACTAAGGAACGATGCCATCAAAGGAAAAGTAAGAATAAGAGGAGTTTCAGGCTTCTGCCCTAAATATAGTAAAAAGCCTATTCCGAAAGTACTATCAAACGAAGCTCAGTTCAAGGCTGTTATCCCAACTACGATCACACCATCACTCGACCCCGACCGGTCAATCTCCTGTCATTGCTATCTCGTGCGCGAAGGGTTGCCCATGCTCCTAATTAAGTCCATCCGGGTCTTCCTTCCATCTTTCAATTCAGGTTCCGACTCAATCGGCTGTCCTCTCCGATCGGCGAACGTCGAAAGAGAAGAAGGCGGAGGAAGGAACTGATTGCATTAGTCTCAGGGGCATAGCCATGTATTACGAGATTAGGCCGATCAGAGAATGCCATAGGTAATTAATAAGGAGTTGCACGTATCGAATCTTTGCTTTAAAAGTAGCACTAGCATTAGCAGGAGTTTCCTCATCTCAGATGTCCATAATCGGATAAAGATGTTATCCAAGTGATTCAAAAGGAAGTCGATAAAGATTCATCCCCTGCTCTTATTGCTAGCTCTTTTCCTTTTTGCCTGGCACTGAAGAAGAAAGATCAGATGCGCCTTATCCGCTATTTGCATGTTTTCGGGAATCATTGGACATGTTTGCGACGTGAATCGAGGCTAGGTACCTAGGACTAATTCCACAGTAGAAAGGGCTATGCGCACCAGCCCGCCCTTAGCATTAGTGCGTCTATGCGTGCTTTTAACATTATCTATCTTAGGGCCTTGATTCTTGCGGAAATGCCCTTTTAAGTGCTTTAGTGGGAATGCGGAGGATTGATTGCTTGGTAGCGTAAAATCGGTCCCGAGAACCTTTGCTTGTCAGGTGCACATGAAAAAGAGAGTGTAATGTAAGTGAGGGCCTTTGTTAGCAAGAAGTGGTTAGCGGTCCAGGCACGCTTGCCTGCTTTCCTGATTCGTGAACAGACGGGACTCTTTCTTTTGGCTTTCCCCAAAGAAAAGACCAAGCAAATCGTCAAATTTGATTCAATATTTTTTTTTGAGACAAAAGAAGCTTATTCAAGAGACAAGTGTTCACCTGTCCAGTCCAGGGGCAAGATTTACAAATCAACAGCTCCTAGCTTTGGTTCGGCCTATTCTTGTCCAGTAACCATTCTGAGTGGAAGTAGGACGTATGGCCAAAGGGGAAATTACTGCTATTTGGCAACTACGCTTCGCTTCTTCAAGTCTCATCTAGGGCTCTCAAGGAATTTGAATTATGGTTATTTCAAAAAAGACATTTCTCCGGGCTCTACTTACTTTTACACCTTTCAAGGGCCCGTTTTTCCATCTATTTGAAATCCTGTCTTGTGTACCGTCTTGTTAAGATAATGAGACCTTCTACGCGCCTCACCTCCCCTCCCACAAGGGGCTTTCAAAAGGCCTTCTGCTCGTTGGTCATATCATGCAATTCCCCCTCTCTACCAACCTATCTATCGATTTTGAGTAAGGACATGCGAATTGGAGAACTTATGTCCTCCCTGGCGATTAGTGAAATGGGGTTCTCACTGTAATAAGAATCCCAAGGAGCGTTAAGCGTTTGGTGTACTTAAAAATAGAAAGAAATCGAATTGATTGATTGATGCTTGCTTCTTCCTGCTGCTTGCTCACTGCGCGGGGTCAGAAGGATGGTAGGAGGCATCCCCCGGGCCTTACCGAGGAAAGAAATGCTGCTTGCTTTTTTGGGGCCAGGATACAAGACGGCTGGCAATGACTTCATCGATTCCTTCCTCAGTCGCTGCAGTCACGGATTCATCTGTTGAGGCAGACCCAACGAACGAAGTGAAGCGCAGTGAAGTCATAAGTAGTCATCTCGCACCTTCCCTACCGGACCTGTTCCCGTACTCTTGGGCCTTTCGATTTCTGATCTATTTCTTTCTTCTTAGCTTAACTGGCTAAATGGATTTCATTGGCAGTTCGGTCCGATCTGTCGGATTCATATGTATTATGGGCTATTTGCCTTGGTTTAGGGGCCTGATTCAGAGCAAATAACTAATGTCGAAACTCTCGCGGACAAGCTGCAATGGGAGAGATCCTCTTATTAAAGCAAGATATTCTTGTGAGCAGCCTATTGTGAGCCACGAGCCAAAGAAAGATGCATGGGCTTTACCTACCTCCCCGGATAGGAGACAGATCGTTGAATTGGAACTCGTCGAGTGCTGTGCGAATTCTTGGGAGAAAAGACTAGAGATTAGATCACTACTATACTATAGACAGACGAATGAACTTCACCATAACAAAGAAGCCCCTACTACCTATATCTGGGCCACTCCTACACAAGAAAAATAGAAAGAAAGGGAATTTCTTTCTCCTCCTCGAGCCTACTCTCGTCTTTCGAATCTTGCTGGAAATTTAGTTGGTGCTAAGCAACTCTTCTCTCCCTTCAAGGTGGACCGGGCAGGGCAAATCGAGCACGCTTTGACTAGCAGAGGATGAGGCCTCTGCTCAGGGGAATCACTTCTTCTCAACGTAAAGAACCTATGAATAAAGAGACTGGCCGAAGATTGAAGGCGGGAAGTCCACTGGTAGCATCCCATTCCCTTGTCGCATCCCGATCGATTCCTTCTTTGATGATCTTAGTCCAAATCTCTAATCTCTGTTGACTAGAGCAAGCTAAGAACTCTCAAAAGCAGAAAAAGCCCACTGGAAAGACACCATCGGTTAGCACGACTCAAAACCCCCCCACCCAAGTTAATCAACTCAATTACATCGAACCTCAGTCCTCTGACCTTCACCCTGAGTAAGCTTAGTACCCATCTCGATCTCGTGCCTTCTTTTTTATGACTGAACTTCGCTTCGAAAAGTTTGTATGGTCGAGTTCGAGTTTGAATTGGGGATGAAAGTTCATCTGTCTTGTCCGTTTCTATGACTGAACATTGCGTTGCTACGGTCAATAAACTGCCTTAAAGTGGCCACAATAGGAGGAACGTAAACAAGAGTCATACCGGACTTGACTTTCGCGTTCACCCTCTCCTTTACTACCCTCTATTCGCTGGGATAAAGCTTTTCCTCCAGAAAGTCGAGTTTCTCCTTTCTTCATCCGCTAAGTCTCGGCTGTACGCCTGCCTGCTTGTTCGCGCTGTCGGCTGTGCTCTTATCTTCTCCGGTAAAGCTTCGAAATTTCCTAAGTAATAGGATTAGTTGTTCCTGATTTCGAATCGGGGCTGACTTGCCAAAGAGCTACTTTGCGCAGGAGTTTCTCAGGCAATATATCAGTCGGGGGATGGCGAAACCAAAGAGAGAAGGCGGCCTGGTGAATCGGGGCAGGGAAAAATCGTTGTCTAGTTAGCCTCCGGTTTGGCACCTGTAATCTTTTTCTTTCCTTCGCCGCACAAGCACTGGACCTAACGCTTTCGAACCGAACTGTTTGCATCCGAAGTAGCGATTCTCGGGGTCAATCAGTCAATCGGTAGTCCTCGACTCAGCTTGGCCATTCCCTTGTGAAAGGAGTGGATTTATCATGGTCTTCACTCTAAATCTGATCTGGAACCTTCGCTTCGCCAATACTTCTGACTTCACTTCGCTTCTAAAGTTGGGTCGATCCTTTCTAGTTGCCTAGCGCTTCCCCTATCTAGTTAGTGACTTCGCTACCTTTACAGAAGACCGAGAGTCGGGGGCTACCTTAAGCCATGCTCCTACTAAACCTAAACCACCAAGAGCCGTTCGATAGTCAAATAGAGTTGTTGAGGTTTCCTTAATATAGGGCTTGCTCAATTACATCGAACCTGGTTTTAGTGATGATGGTCCCCCACCCAGTATAGTCGAGAAAGAAACCTAGTGCGTGATATAGCTTTGAAAGAAAATGCCTAATTAGGGGAAAGATCACTTCTGGTCTCTTCATTTAATAAATAGATAGACTCTTCCCCTCTGCTATGGTGCTTGGTCATTGTGCCAGTCCCGATTCAAACTTGCATTTTACAGGAGTAAGGAGATGATGTGTGGAACCACTTATCGGGTAAGCACTGCGAACCCCTAATCCGCAGTTTTCGGTTAGAAATGCATGAATTTCAGTCTTTTTTTGTCATCACCTAAATGGATTGCTTGGTGGAATGCCGTGCGCAATGCCTACAGGAAGGGGAACAAATTCAGTCATTCAAGTAAGTTCAATGGCTTATATAAGCCAATAGTCAGATCGGGGAAAGCCCTTCTATTTTAAAGTTCAAGGCTTGACCAAGGTGAGTAGTTGATATTGAATCCCCTAAAATGTATGAGATAATAAAAGTGGATAGTTCCAAAATCGAATATAATAAAATATTGGAATTATAAGAATTGCCTCCACAGAATCCGGAACTTATAAAATAGGGATGAAATCACATTGTTGTCCCATCTTTTCTCTCCTGGAATCATTAGGTCACAACCTAAACACTGGGGATCTAAAGATTCTCCAGATCTGGCTACAGGTTTGAAATGCAGCATTAAAGGAACCCGAACCTGAGGATCGACCCAAACTCTGGTGGAATTACCATTGCCAATTATGAATAGGAGGGCCTTCCGGATCACATCTCTGGAGGAGAGGATGCCCCTCCAAATCCAAGATGCCCGCCTGGGGACTCCCGCATATGGAAAAGGATCTGCTCTTGCCATTAGGTATACTGGGCTAGGAGGAAATGCTATTCGTGCCAGTGAATCGATAGGTTCACTTTCAGCCTTACCTCTTAGGTAAGTGAGCTTTGCGACCTCCACCACTAGTGCCGGATCAACTGATCATTGCCCTTGTATTTGTCTCTTCTGGGGAAACTAAACTTGCATTCCTTCAGTGAAGTGATGTAATCTCGGCATTCCTCTCCTTTCGCGTCGAGATCTTTAAACCTTTCCTTCACTTCGCTTCTAAAGTTGGGGCGATGTAATTGAGCAGCATACCTGTAATATCGAGATCGTGATCCAGATCCGTATACGAGGTGACCAACGGGAAGGAGCAAGCACCAATAGCAGTTGATCTCGTTGCCTCATACCTTTGACGGGCATGACCCCTAACAGAACGACTTGCCCCTCCATGCGCTAAGCTGGACAGAGCGCTTTCAGAAGGAGGACTTTCCCGATTATAAAGTTGCTTTTTTATCCTTAACATCGTTGGTCAACTCTTGGGGCAGTGGATAGAGCTCGTCCCTATTTGACTGACGAGGGTAGGGTTAGCTCTTATGACAAGTGCAGCTTGTTGACTGCCACAAACCGGCTTTCCTCAGGCGTTGACTGTGGCGAGGCTAGGCCTCTCTCAAGAGAATCCGTTTTCCCGAATCAATGCGCGAATTTCCTTTCCATTCGAGATCTTGGTTGAGAGAAATGCGCCTGACTCGATCGGTACCACTCCATCTTGGGGCTAGCTATTGACTTTGATTCATAGTATCCATAGGAATCGAGACTCTTTGCAATTCAGATGGCTTTCTTCTTTCATCGCCCCAACTTTAGAAGCGAAGTGAAGTCAAAGTGGCTTCTTTTGGGTTTGAAAGTAGCTAGTGGCCACATTGTCCGTCTTAATGCTGAAGTGTGCCCCTAGCAAATAGTGAGGCCACACCCTCAAGCAGTGGATGATGGCCGTCATCTCCTTCTCTTGCACCGTGTAGCGCCGCTCGGTGTCGTTTAACTTTCGGCTTTCGAACGCTATCGGGTGCCGCTCTTGCATCAACACTCCCCCAATAGCAAAGTCAGAGGCATCAGTGCTCGAAGGGCTTGGTGAAGTCAGGTAATGCCAAGACAGGCTCCTGGCTCACTGCGGCCTTAAGATCCTCAAAGGCTTGTTCACACTCGTTGGACCATACCCACGGCTTTCCTTTCTTGAGCAGGTCGGTAAGAGGCCCTCGCCGAGTACCCCTGTATGAATCGGCGATAATAATTGACCAGCCCTAAGAAGGATCGTAATTCGCTTCGTTGGCGCTTCCCATTCCATGATCGCCTTCACCTTTGCCCCGTCCATCTGGATTCGTCCGTGGCCTATGACATGTCCCAAGAAGTGAACTTCTTCCTGGGCTGCACTTGGACTCCTTCACGTAGAGCTCATTGTCCCGAAGTACTTTGAATACGGTGCTACGGTGGTCAGCGTGCTCCTCAAGTGAGTTGCTATATATGACGATATCATCCAGGTAAACCACCACGAACCGATCCAGGGTGAAAGATCGCGTTCATGAGCGTGCAGAATGTAGCTGGGTCGATGTAATTGACAAAGGTCATCACTAACCATTCATACGACCCATACCGCGTGATGCACGTGGTCTTGGGTTCGTCTCCCTCGGCGATGCGGACTTGGTAGTAGCCTTTCTGTAAATCCATCTTGGTGTACACTCGGGCTCCCCCAAGTCGGCAGGGATGGGATAGCGATTTTGAATTGTTACCTTATTGAGCGCCCGGTAGTCTACGCACATGCGTAATGTCCCATCATGCTTCTTTTGAAAGAGTACGGGTGCGCCATAAGGTGCCTTACTTGGCCGGATCTTCCCCGTCTCCACGAGCTCCTTAAGTTGCTTCTTTAATTCCTCAAGCTCCGGCGGAGACATCCGGTATGGGGCCATGGCAGGCGGCTTGGTTCCGGGCTCTAATTCAATCTTGTGATCCACACCTCGCCTTGGTGGAAGCTTGTTTGGTAACTCGGCTGGCATAACATCCCTATTTTCCTCAAGGACTCCTCGGATGAGGCAGGGCACCTTCGGGGAATCCTCCTCTCAATGTAATCGATCCTCCTTCACGCCAAGTACGTGGGCTCACCTCGCCTTGCCCCCTTGGCAAGCTGTATGGCGGAGAGTTGCTTGTTGGCACTCCCGCTGTCCCCTTCTATTGTCGGAACCATGCATGGAGAACCCTTCTCCAATATACAAACGGTACTAAAGGATGGCATAGGTATGGCTGTTACCTGTCGCAGAAAATCCATGCCGAGTACCACTTTAAAGTGGTCCATGGGTGCTACGGAAAAATTCACACGCCCTTGCCATGTCCCTAGGTGCAGACCCACATTGCTCGCGATTCCCTCGAGTCGACGAGCATTGGCATTGACCTAGCCATCCGGCTCTCTCGGTCCAAGATAGTCCCAACCTTGCGGCTTCCTCTTTGGTAATGAAATTGTGACTGGCTCCTGTGGTCGGTTAGCAGATTTGCAGATAGAAGGCTAGCCAGTCTAAGCCGATCCCGAGGATCGGAGCTATAGGATTGCCCAAGACAAGCATTGGATTTCTTTTGTTTTAACAGACTCCGATTCGGATTCTCAAGCAAGGGCGAGCCACGGGAATAATGGCTCAAAGGGGATTAACTGCACCGGACGAAGCTTTTCTTTTAACAGTAGGAATGGTTCCTGCTTCGAAGCTTACTCCCCGAGAAGCTCTCTCTGTGTGCAATTAGAGATTAAAGAAGGTCTCTAAAGTTTCTTTTTCTTCCTTCTCTTTGTTGGACCACTTTTATGAATCTGAAATCTAAAACATAACTAGCTCATTTCTTTCCTTAGTATTTTCAGTCTTGTTTTAACTTATAGTCATTATAGAAGAAGACTGAAAGGTACAAACGAAGCTCATTTCAGTCAAATAGAATTAATAAGGAAAGAATTGAATCGAAGTGAAGTCAGGAAAATAGAACAAAGCGAAGCTAACTGACTGAACCGAAGTGAAGTGTACGAACGAAGCGAAGTGAAGTCATAAAGGAAAGGTGTAATTGAGTTGTTCTCCAACGCGACTTTGCCAATTAACCATGGTATACCACGTTAACACCGCTAGGAATATCCCTACTCTTTACTCTTTCGCCCTGTGAATACCCAGTTAATACTTGTTGGTTGGGAATACTTATCCTCAATTGGTTCCTACCCTAGCTTGTGTAGCCTATGCGAAGCAAGCCCACACTGGCTTCTCAATGTTCCAAAACCTGTATTCGGAATGTTTGTGAACCGACTGTGAACCCTGCCTTCGAATATTGCTTACCCTGTCTTCAGCCATTCCGTACCTTGTCTTATGACATGAACTCTGCCCTGGGAATATACACCAATTGACTGAATTCACACTAATGTACCGACTGTATACACACTGATTGGGATATAACTACTCTTCTATTCCTAGTGCGATTATCGGGCTGGCCTGAGAAGGGTACAAGAAGGCGGACACCAAGGAGATGCTCAAGCTACCAATACTCGTACGATACTGCCCGTACCTCTAATAGCATCCGTACAGGAAGCTACGATGGTACACCAGTGAACAGCACAAAGTGATCGAGTAAGCTACCTCTCCTTTTCCCGAGCTAAGACGAGCAATCAGGGATGCGACCAAAACCGTTGGCGGAAGACCGTCAGCAACATCGCGAAGCTTTTCTTCTTTTTCTCACAGCTTTTATGGGTTTCACAAACGAAGCTCCTGATGCGAAGCTACTAGTTACGAAGCTATTGGTTACGAAGCTACGAAGCTTACGGACCGAAGCGAAGACTGAGCGCGCTAGGGTTTTCTTTTCACAGTTTAAATCGTTAGCTACACCGAGCGACGCTACTGTGACCGAAACTAGTGATACGAAGAAGGAATGAGTTTGTCAGTCGGCCGAGTGGGAACCCACCTGCTAAGGCTCGGAACATGGCAATGCCCTCCGCGGCAGGCCAAGACTCATACCGAGCAACGCGAGCTACGGGAATAATGGCTCAAAGGGGATTAACTGCACCGGACGAAGTGAGGGTTTTAGCACAGTAGGAATGGAATGGTTGGTAGGCTTCACCGAAGCTTTAGCTACAACTGATCCGAGCTACTAAAGCGAAGACTTAACGAAGCTTGGGTTTTAGCACAGTAGGGATGGTTTAATCCTGCTACGAAGCTTTAGCAACTGGACCGGGCGAAGCTTTTCTTTTAACAGTAGGAGTTCAGTAGCTACACCGGCTACGAAGCTACTGTTACGAAGAGAAGGGAGTAGCTGCTACGAGTCTGACTGAACCGGACGAAGCTAACTGACCGAACCGAAGTGAGGGACTGATCGAAGCTACTGATACGAAGGGTACGAAGTAGCTCGACTTCAAGGTACAAACGAAGCGATCCAACGACTGAAGCGAAGCGAAGTGAAGGAAACTCTATTTAAGAAAGAAAGGATTGCATCTGTCTTTCTTTGTCTTTTTCTTGTCTTGTTGTATTTTTCCCTCTAAAGGGTGCCCTATAGGTGGGGAGTATTTCTTCCTTAGCTGATAGAACTGAATCGTTGTTCGATGCTGCAATCCCAGTTGACTCAACAAAGAATCTACTTTCTTTGTTAGCTTCGCTCTTATCTTCGACTTATGTCTCAAAGTTAGAAGATGTTTCAGCTTGTTGTTAGACGACTCAAAGCCTATCGAACCATCTGACGTATCCGCTTGAATACCGATGCAAGACTATAGAAGCCAAGACTAGATAGAGAAGGCAAGCCAAAAGAAGACAGGAGACTATTCGGAAAAGGGTAATTCCTACTTTGCCCCGTTCGCTACTACCTAAGAAATAGCGCGTTTATTAGTTCAAATAATAAACTAGCTTAAGAAGAAGCCTTGCTCCGAAAATGTCGGGCGATATTTCGATGACCGATGGGAATACCCGCCGCCGGAGGAAGTTGATCAACAGGAAAGAAGCAACAAGAAAGTAAAATCAGATGGCCAGGCTGTGTTTGGAGAGACATCCTTTAAGGACAAACTGTTAGGATCGAAGGTTCCAGGAGAGACCTTCCATGGCACGAAAATAGTAGAGACTACCTACGGAAGAGGATTCCGATGATGAAGTTGATGAAGCGGTGACTGAGGGCATCCCGATGGTAAAATGAACTAAAGAAAGGAAGAAATCATTGAGGGAACCATGGCGTCAAGCCTTGATAATCAAGTTGCTTGGGAAGACTATATCTTACAATGTGTTACTAACCAGAGTCACGGCTATGTGGAAATTGATGGGGGACTTCACTTTGATTGATCTGGGACATGGATTTTACGCTGTGAAGTTCGAAGAGATGGATGATAGGACGAAAGTAATGACGGGGTGGTCCGTGGAAGATAATGGACCTTTATTTGACAGTTCAAAGATGGAAGCCTCACTTCCGTTCCTCAGAAGCTATTGTGCCTTCAACTGCGGTATGGATTCACTTTCCGGAGTGTCTGTTAGAGTACTTTGAGGAGGATTTGCTCCTAGAAGCAGCAAAGCACATTGGGACTCCGTTAAGAATTGATAGCACGAAGGCCTTGGCCGTGAAGGCACGTTTTGCTAGAGTTTGCGTTGAAGTTGATCTTCAAAAGCCCCTTGTCTCGAAAGTTTGTATTGGCTATGATGTTCTTATAAGTAGCGGTCAAAAGAGCTGTCAACGCCGGTATTACCGGGAGTAACCGGAGGGGGAGTAGGCCGAATCGCGGCCAAAGCAGTACCATTAACGGGCGGTCTGAGAAGGTCTTTGAATTTGGGAATCAGCCATGCTGGCCCCTGTATTGGCCCCTCCAACAGTTCTCAAAGGACAAAACTCCGCTCTATGACCGACCACCCCGCAATGAAAGCACACCGTATGAAGCCCTTCATACGCAACCCTAAGAACATCATAGAACACTAAAAGTATACATAAATAAGGCGGAAAAGAAAAGGGAGCTTCGCCTGCTAACCGAGAACATGATCAAATCCACCAGGCTGCTAGCAGGAGAGAGGCTATTTGCGGTAGTGGTAGACTGCTCATAGCTCTTTTCCTCATCAACACAATGAAAAGTCAGTTAGTTGCCCCTCTTCCACAATCCAGGATGAAGATCTGAATCATCGACACCGTCGGGACTAAGCTACGCGACTCATTAATCAACTCTAAAGTAAAGAGAATCCAATGAACATGACTCACTCCACTGGTTGAGATTCTCCTAGGATGAGCATCCTTAATATCATTTCTATCTCTTCCCGTAGCTGACGGTCGCTGCCTTATAAGGGACTAATGAGTTTTCATTCTGGTTACCGAAAGGGATTCTCATTACCAAGGCCCAAGGAAATAAAGAGTCAATCAAAAATGATTGATGCTCCGAACTCAAATAGTGGAATATACATTGATTGTCTACTACTTTTTCTTCGTCGTGAGAGGCCTGATGTCCTTTGTCTATTGGAGACTAAAGCAGATTGGGGGGTGGGTTCTACTTTGGCTCGCCGTTTTAAGTTTGATGGAGTTTATGAGGTTGCTGCGTCGGGTATGGCGGGTGGCCTTATTCTACTTTGGAATTCTTTGTCGCTTAGTGCAACTACCTTATCCTGTACTGATCAAAGTATTACTACTGAGATTTCAGGGAGTGGTTTTTCGGCTATTATAACGTTCGTTTATGTTAGGCCTTGCTCGGTTAGTAAGGACATGTTTTGGGACAATCTCAAACTTTTCGCAGCGTCAGTTAATAGACCCTGGATTGTTATGGGGGATTTTAATGACTTTGCGTTACTCTCAGAAAGAAAAGGCGGGTCGGGGTCTTGCCTTAATAGAGTTTTGAAATTTAGGGAGAGGATTAATGATTGTAATTTATTGGATGTTGGTTGTGAGGGTGGTACTTTTACATGGGTATGGAAGGTTCATGGGAGAGTTGTTGTTCAAGAGAGATTGGATCGAGCTTTATGGGGGACTTTTAGTCGTTCGTGTCCGAATAGCATAGATGAGTCGAACGGGGTGAGAGTGATAGCCGCAATCCCAGGGAAATCCCAACAAATGTTGGAACGGTATCCATCGCTTTTAAATCTTAGGGAAGACAATGATGTGCATTGAAATAGGTCTGATGATCAATCCTCGGTTTCGAATTCTTGCTTCTAAGAGGATTAGTCGGAAAGTGATTTGTAGTAAGCATTATGGCACAACTGGAACCTTAGTGCTCTAATCAGCGGCTTCTGACCCGTTCTCTCACTTTGGTCCTTTAGGCTCTGAGCCTGACGGCACCTCCCTACTTTGTTGGACTAAAAGCCTTTTTAGGCAAACTTCCTTTTGGCATGAAAAATGGAATGGTTAGGCATACACTTTTCGAATCTAATTCACTTCGCTTCTACGCCTTCATGAAATAATGAAAGAAAGAAAAGACGAAAGAATAGGACGTTTACGGTACATATGGAGCACCTCGTAGGGATCTCCCCCGGTTGGTATGGATGGGGTTGGCATCCCCCTTTCCTGTCTGTTGGATTGTTGGAAACTGAGCGTACGCTATCGGTCATTGAGGAATACTTAGGCTTAAGAAAAGGAAAGGCTGAGCTGTAAAAAAAAAGGCAGAAGGCGGGTACGAGTGAATCATCTTATTACTGATTATCGACTGATTATCGAATCTTTTTTAGTTTCGCCCCAGTCATCTATTTCTCTCAACCCAAAGTACGGAGGAGCGCACCTTAACTATAGCTTGCTCTTCAGGCGGGATTCCATAGACTCGAAGCCCTTTATGACGAGCTATCTTTTTTCTTTTTTTGTGGAAGAAAAGCAATGAAACCTGCGATGGGAAAGGGCTCAAAGTTCAACTAAAAGAAAGTCCTTGTGACCACTAGACTTTACTCTCCGTTAGACAACGGGTATTCTCAGTCGGAACTTGTTCATGAATACTAACAGCAGCAGAAGAAGAAGCGTTCCATACTGTATTTTGATTCGGCCTGTTCTCGATTCAGCTTCCCAGAGGATGTCTTATGCTTCCTCTGCTCTGATCTTGACAAGACAAGTTGGTCCGATGTTAGCGAATAGGGCTACGCGATGAAGCGGTATCTATCGCCAGTTCGCCTATCGGATAGAAAGCCAGTGTAGAAGCATCGAAACAATTGCAAAAGTAGGACCTTCCATTTCGGCATCCATATGATCAGCTTCCTTGGTTGCTTACGAGTCCTGTCATGCGGCACATACCAGCCTCAGTAAGCGAGATAAACGAGCCCTTTTCGTAGGCTCTAGTTCTGGCTTACCATCGGTACGCTATATAGCTTCCGTTTCGGTCTCCTCCCTATTCCTGTCAAGCCCCAGAGCTATAGGTCGGATTCTAAAAAACAACTGAACTCAGTCCGGGGTATGATCTCTAAATCGAATTTCTTGCAAACGGGGGTATCATAACATGTCATAAATGAACGCATTGCCCATTTCCTAAGTGAAAATTTTTGGGGCTTCTCATGGGGAATCCCCCATCGTAATACCTGTCAATCGTGCGATTTGGATAGTTGAGATCGATGCTTGACCCCACCTACTCTTGTCACTCCCAGCTACATCGATTCGAAGAAGAGCTTCCATTTCTCTCCACTCTTGAGACGAATGTTCTCCCTAAACGCTTTCTACTAGCTGCTAAAAGGGAAGTTTCTTGAATTCTCCTTCATAGGTCAAGGTGACAGGATTCGAACCTATGGCCCTCTGTACCCAAAACAGATGCGCTGACCAGACTGCGCTACACCTCGTCTCACCCTCCGAAGCATATAGATCCGCCCGATCGATGAAGACTCGAACCGAACTCGCCCATCCTTTTGGGCACAGGGGGGCGAGAACCAATCCGAGTAATCAACCGCTTTTTTTATCAAATCTGCCTCCCGCACTATTATACGGCTTTTTGCCTTTTTCTTTCACTTTCATTTCCAAATCCGGCTCGCTCTCGGCTACGTTCTTTCAGAACCTTCGCCCGCTTAGAAGTGGATTCGAACCACTGACACAAGGATTTTCAGTCCTTTGCTCTAACCAGCTGAGCTACCTGAACCACTTTCCTAAATAATTTCTGTTTTCTTCATCCCGACCACTTTACTAGGTTGGTTGTCAGGTCGCGCCTTACTAATAAGATAGGGTTTCGCTTGTCTTCGAGCATTTGCCTCTCCGGCCGGAGGAAATAGAAAGAAAGAAGTGCGGCCGACACAACCGCAACTCTGTATACCTAGTAAAGCTCACTAAGTAGTGCTATCCGGAGGGGGCAAGAGGTTCTTTCTTGACCCGCGATTTGTTTTTAGGTACGGAGGAAACGGGATTCGAACCCATGATACAATTTCTTGTATGTCGGTTTAGCAAACCAATGCCTTAAGCCACTCAGCCATCCCTCCGTTGATCGAAATTTGATGCGCGCCCGAAGAAAAGCTCGTCTCGTCCAGTGCACAGCATTGGCATTCACCATCTCCCCCGAAGTGCAGCCAGGTATAGTTAGAGTTTGCTTTCCGCTAGCTTCCTGAGATGGGGTTGAACCATCGTTGACGCCAACCAGCCAGTATCCTCCTTCTTTCCTCGACTATAGAACCACCTCTTCGGCTAACGCCTCGCCCACTTCGTGTCCTTCGACGCTATCGCTTACTCAGCTACATGAATTGAATACATTTTGGAAAGCGAACAACTTCTTTGAATATTCATTCCATACTTCTATATGATATTCATAGAAGAAAAGATATGAATCGAAACTCATTAAAGAACTCTTAAGATATACCTATGAACATTCGATCCATCTATTCACATTTATTCTATAGAAGAAAAGAAGAGAAACGAATAAGAAACTCTTAAGAGATGGATTCCTATGAACATTCCTTCGAAAGGCTGGGCAATTCTCAATCGAATGTCCTTCTTGTCCAGCATGATACTTGCAATGCTCCAGTGGGTTGTACCCTTTTGGACAGGGTGGCTGTATTGGCTCGGCATGCAGGGGAGCGATCAAACTATTTTCCAAGAGCACCATGTAGACATACTGGCACGCTACTGGCAACGGACTTAGGTAGTCCTGCATAGCGGATTCTTCAATTTATTCATAAAACTCTATGACGGACATATCCATCATTCCTTGAACTACTTGCTTGAACTCTTCACATTCTTCTATACCATGATCAATAACATTTCCATGATACGGGCATCCTCGTCCAATCCCGCTCTGTACTGAGGTTGTAAGAACAGGCTGGACCCATTGTACTTTGGCTAGAATAGAATCTCAAACACGGTTTTCATTGGGGTTTTCACTTCTTCTACCCTCATCTTGATCAGGCGAGGGGGTTCTCCGCAAATGGCATTTACGGTTGGGGCGGTGTGGTTGGGTAATGGATTACCTCCCCCATTGGGATCCTTTTCAAAAGTCAGGATTTTGGCATCGACAAGGCTTTGGACCTTCCTCTTAAAAGCTGTGCAGTTTTTTTCAATAGAGTGCCCTTTCACTTTGGCATGATACTCGCATTCAGCTTTTTCATCGAACCACCTGGGATATGGAGGTTTAAGTGGCTCTATATACGTGGGGGCCACAAGTCTGTTCTCCAGCAAGTGAGTGTACAATTCAGCATAAGACACAGGTATGGGGTCAAAGTTTGGTTTAGGTTTACTGGATCCTTGGTTGTTCACAGTTTTGGGGGCAGCGACATTCTTGGGAGCTGGGGTATTGGCTGGAGCAGAAGGTCGATTAATGTGGATTGGTTGTGGCGCAGGCTGGACGTTCTGGTAAGGATCTTGGTGAACATTGCTTATGGTTGGAGATTAAAAGATCGATACAAAAATCAATCATATATGATATTCATTGAAGAAAAGAAGAGAAACGAATAAGAAATAATCAACTCTTTCGAAATTCCTATGAACATTTAGTCATTGCTTCTATATCATACATACTACTTGGCAGCTCAGCGAAAATCATCATTATTAGTAAGCATTTGTATCCGTTTTTTAATTGTTTAACCAATGAGGGATTTCCGTTCCATGAGGACGAATGATGGGAGACGACAGGGAGTTATCGTGGCAGCTACGCAGCTCAGCTCGAGATTCCTCTTCACATGAATTTCATATTCATTCTTCCGATGAGGAACTAGAATCTATACGTCTAATATTCATTCTTCAACTAAGGAGATTCCTATAGACTATAGACTGAACACCAACCAAAAAAAGAGGGTGACGTGAGATCAAGTTCCTTTAACTAGTGGCGGGACATAGGGATAATGAGAAATTGCCGTGTCTTTCAAAGATCTTACGATCACAGACTCGGGCAGGTCTGCCTTTCACCTCTAACAGTACTACAGGAGCGGAAAGGTTATCTCTGGTTTTGCCTGGACTAGTTTTTCTTATCTGGTTATGTTAGATTTCCGTTCCTTATCAATTTCATTGTCTTCTTCGCTCAAAACCATCCAAGACTGGAACTGGAACATCGTTTCTACTGACACTTGAAAAAAGCTGGAATGCAGACATGGTGTTTTTTCTAGAGATACTGATCTGGTGAATCATACAATCAAAGAAGAAGAGAATCGATACGAATAATTCACTCAAAAGATCTTCCTATGAACAATAAATAATTCGATACTTCTATACGATATTCATAGATGATTAGTCTTTATTCTATCAAACACACTAGGAAATTACGCAACTGGAATCGTCTTCTTTGAATTATAAAAAGGAATCTTCTCCAAGCTGCTAATGCGGGGGGCGGGCAGAGCTTTCTAGTGGCGGCGAAGAGGACGAAGTGGGTGTTCAATTGCTGAGTCAATCCCAGGATGGCGACTTCCTGATGCCTTTCCTTCGCCATACTTATTTTCGTCCTCAGTCTTCGGCTTTCTTATGGCTCGTCGATTGTCTTAGTTTGTTATGGATTGTCTTCTGTTCGTTTTTGTCTCGATGCTGTTTGGTGGTTTGCCTTGACTGTTCGCTGGGCAGAGAGCACAAGCGAGCACAATTCACTCAGTTGCCTCTCATTTATTGTGCCGACAATCTGTTGCTCTCTTAGTGAGGCCTTCATGCGGGCGGCGCTGCAGAGACGAAGGGGAAATAAGAATATAATGATGACTGGGGGACCTTGGAAGGAAGAGCATGGCTCACTACCTTACAGTTCGTCAGGAAGGGCAGGCAAGCAGCTCGTATAGCAAGCAATAGCAAACGCCCGGCTCCTACTTCGCCTAGATTATCAGCGCCTAAAAGCTCTGAGCCTTTCTTTTTGCCCTGGACGATGCTAACCCTAAACACTTTCTAACATAAAAAAGCCCCTACCCCCTTGACTAGTTTAGTTTCGTTCCCATGGTTCGATCCTTCCCAGATGCCCGGGAGTGAATTCTCTAGGTTATTGGAAGCCCATTCAACTTGGTCAAGGGGTGGGTATTTCGCATTTGTTTTTCGCCGATGACCTACTTCTCTTTGGGAGAGCAAACGAGCACCAGGCATGCGTGATGAGAGAGGCACTGGAGGCTTTCTGTTCAGCATCGGGCTCTAAAGTCAGTTTAGAGAAATCGAAATTGTTTGTATCGCCTAAAGCTGGGCGGAGTCATGCTAGACGGGTCAGTTCTTCACTTGGCATACCGCTGACGGACAACCTGGGCAGATATTTAGGTACTCCTTTGGTGCATGGTAGAGTCACCAAGGCGACCTATAATGATTTGTTCGAACAGGTGAGAAATCGCCTATCAGGGTGGAAATCCAAGCTTCTTTCACTCGCTGGTCGTTCGACTCTCATTCGTATTCTTATTTAGGCAGAGGGCTATGATGAAAGGATCTCTTTTTCAGTTGTTGACAAGTATAGGAGGTCTTGCATGGCAGAGGCTCCCCAAAACCTCGGATGATTAAAGCAGTCTTGACAAAGATTGTTTTGATCATCTTCGACGATTTGACCAAGGAACATTGTTTCGCTATGCACTTGTATGCGAAAAGGGTGTTTAGGATGGATGGGAAAGAAGTACATGAGGGCATGTGCGGAGCACACCAAGCAGGAAGAAAGACCAGGAAAGCTGCCCAGCGAACTGGAAAGGTCAGCTGAGCCGATAGGCGAAGAGCATGTAAAGCAGTTTCAACCTGAGACGAGCACCTGAAGCAAGTAGGTACAAGAAGCAATCTTCTATTGTGTAGAAGAAGAGAAGTAGGAAGTGAATTGTGGGCAAGTCTCCAGAGAAAGATATGCTGCTTAGATGTGCATTGTATATCCCAAACTTGACCCCAAGGATTTGGAGAAGAGGGACCATCAGCAAACTGATTCCTGTATGCCGATGACACTGAAAAGTGACCATCACTTTTCAAGTTTCCATAAATATGAATCATTACACTCCATATCAGAAGTCATCCACATGGAGGCAATGCTAAAAACAACATCAAATGGAAGGCAACCATGTAACTTGGTAAGATCCCAATTACCTGTAGCATCGCAGAATTCCGATACTGATGCATCAGCCTCATTTTCAGTAATAGAGACATTAGCGTGCTGGATAAGAGGACTGAAGATACACCAGCTATCAAGCCAAAATTTAGTAGAGAGACCATTTCCGATGTTGACAGCAAGACCGCCTTCAAGGACCCCTCTACCTTTTTTTATACTACGCCAAGTATAGGAATCCGAAGGGCGAGCAACAGCGGATAAGAAGTCGGTCTTCCTTAAGTATTTTTTATTCAAAAGATCAACCCACAAAGCGTCCTTGTTAAAGACAATAGACCATCCCAGTTTTGCAAGGAACGCCAAATTGCACTTCTTTAGATCCCAAATATTGAGATCCCCAAGCTCTTTAGGAAGACAAATCTTCTCCCAAGCAAGAGTATGAATCTTTCTTTTCTCGTCCGAATCTCCCCTTCGCCTTATGGCTCACCTCTAAAGAGCCAAAGGAAATCCCTACAAATTAAATAAAGAAAGGGATCTTTTAAAATTAGTTTTAGACGCGGTTGGAAAAACCTCAACTTAAGGATTGATTATCGATATTGAGCGCTACAATGGCCTATGCATGGATCCCCCAGTTCGTCTGTCAGCAGTTGTCTCTTGGCAGCCTCCTCCTCCCTCTGTGGTGAAAATAAATACGGATGGTGCGGCCAGAGGCAATCCGGGGATAGCAGGAGCAGGGGATATTTTTAGAGATGAGACTGGAGCGTGGTTACTGGGTTGGCTTTCAAAGAGATAGACTCTCCTGGGATTTAGGTTGTGTGAGTCACGCACGGATCTCCAGTCCTATAGTGCTTCCCCGGGTGAGGCTTGTGCTTGTGTGCGGGCGAGATGAAGCTCAGACTAATTGCCTTAGAAGCGTCTGTCTCATGCCAAATGTCTTAGGCCCAGTCTTACTTGTAGCAGTAGTGGCATTCCCAGGTGCTTACGAGCTAGTCTGTGGTTATTGCTAGGGAATCCGCTACTCTAGAGGAAGGATCAATAGTCCAGCTAGCCACGCACACGAGGTGATCTTTCTACATCATTTCGCGCTTTCAACTTTAGCATGGGCTCAGCTCGATAGCTGGCTTTCTAAACCCAACGCAGTTGTAGCATCTACCCTCACGACTTCTCATAGACTGAATTGTCAGAATCGGCTCGCAAACAAAATTCTTGCCCATGTACTCGTAAGGTCTCCCTTAATCTCTAGCCTCCTCTTGATCAGGCTCATGTTCACCTGACGCTCGATTCTGCCCCCCCTTCAGCCTAATCTTCCCTTCGCGAAAGGAAATAACTAGCGCAAGCAGCGATCTGAGAACTTTCGAGATGTGAATCATAGCCTAGTATAGTTTCGTACCCAACAGCAAAAAGTGATGTCATATTTGACTTTTTTGAAAATCACCCCTTCGGATCCGAGTTTGCATTGGCTAGGGGGCATGAGCGGTAGTCAGTGCTTTTGCTCTTACAGATGCCATTTTTCTGTTGATGCGCGACTCTTTCAGAGCCTTTATGCCGCGTTGTCGGAAGGGGCTCAGTGAGACCCGGGCTGAGCTCCGCAGATGTTATAGGAAGAAGCGCTGGTTGAAAGCTTGAACCAGGGAGAGGAACGAACGAAGCGAAGCGAAGTGAAGTCCTGGTTGGAAGAAAATGCTATTCTCAACAAAGGAATGCAAAGAGAAGAGACCAATCTTACTTACTTCCTTACACAAAACGGTTATGTTATTATACTGTTCGTGCCAATCAGAAGCAGAAGAAAGCGGGGCCCATCCCTTGGAAAGACAGACCCCTTAAAAGGGTCATTCGGTCACTACCTCGTATGTCCTCCCCTACTATTTGATTTGGGTAGGGGTGTGGGTCGGCTAGAGGAAGAACAGATACCTTTCTTTGACTTCACTTCGCTTCGCTTCGTTCGTTGGGTCCGGGTAAAGTCCGAAGTTGAAGATCTACCATGGCTGGAGGAGAGATTCATTCAATCGAGACAGCTGATGAAGTTCCACCGAGATCTATTTCATTTATCTCAATTACGACTATACGGACTATACCTACCGGACTGACTGGAATGACTAAACCTGTCAAGTTACGAACCCTATAGACCTAAAGGCGTCGACTCCACAGAGCTTGAATGAGCTAGTATAACCCGGGGAGCTATAATGACTGGACTAACTGGAGCTCCATTTTCTCACTCTTTTTTGATTCGTTAACGTTTGGATCCCTTCACTTCGAGAGGGTTCTTGCAATGTACAACCGCTTCAGGCTCCCGTTCGAGCTATGGCGCTCTGAACCCTTACCTGAGAGGTGTCATTATTTACTTTGAGATGAGACCCCGAGATTGTTGACTGATCCGGGATGACGTGTTTAGTCGTCCTGAGGATAAAGAATTTTTCGAGTGGTCTGGTCCGGTACGGTATTGTCGTTGGTATTATGGTACCGCCCTTAACGACCAGGTTACCATTGAGGACTTCTTCAATGCCCCTCGACGCTGAAGATTCCCGACTAGGTTAGCCCTTTCGAACTGCTGCTGAATCCATTCCAATTCTTTAGGAGTGGGTATGAAAGAGCTAGAGAAAAGACAATCTTTCTTTCTCTTAGCTTAGATAGAGTTTCGGTTTACCAGCTGTTTTAGCCTTTCTTAGTAGTAGGACTAGGACTTCTATGACTTCACTTCGCTTCTAAAGATGCAATTGACCTATGGTTTTTCTATGACTTTACTTCGCTTCGTTCGTACACTTCGCTCTCCTTTCCTTTTTTTCGGGAATCGATTTTACGTTCAACTTTAGCTAATAGCTTTCCTAATCAAAGAGGCTATATCAAAGGTCTGGTGACGGTGAGGTATTGTAAAGCTCCCACACTATAGTCCGTCAGAGGGTCGATGTAATTGAGAGGGTATGTCAAATAAAGATTACCGGATTACCTAGAGCTAGGCCCGAAGCTACTCCGACTTTGAAATCGTCCGATAGCATTCCAAACTGCCTCTCCCTATGGTCGAGCTCAATTACATCGCCCCAACTTTAGAAGCGAAGCAAAGTTCAGTCATTAGAGGAAGTCGAGACCTCGTACCCACCTTCCTTTTCTGCTTACTGGTAGGGGTGGTACACGGACCACGAAGCCAATAACGAAATGAAAGAATGATTAGGCAGCCAGAGCTTCACCTTCCGAGCCCCGTCCGTCACGAACCCATTTCGGATTACACTGGAGGTGATCCTTTGGATCACTTTAGACTCGCGGGTGTTGGCTTCTGGGGAGAAGACTACTGACGCTCCAAACCGAATCATGAATCAACCACATAGATTGCCTTCATGCTTCTTACATACGATAAAAGATCACGCCACGCTAGGAGTTTTATGACTTCACTTCGCTTCGCTTCGTTTGTACCTTTCCGTCAAGTCTCACTTTGCTCTCCTACCCGAATGAAAGAAGACAAGAGGTTCCATCGCTTGCCCATAGGATCGAATTGACTAGCCCTATACCTATCAGAAGGCTCTGAAAGTGGCCTTCCCCACTGCATTCCCCATAGGGGAGGATCAAAGACCTTCGTGACAATCTCGTACCAGCCTGCTCTCTGGGTCCCTACCGTGGCAAGGCAGGCCTTCCGATCCGCCACTTCACCATGAGGACGGGAAGTATCTTCCACGGATCCTTTCTTTTCAGTGACTCTACTCATTGCATCCCGACCACCCTCGAAGGGACTCGAGGAAGAAGCCCCGGCTAAACATACTTCAGGAGGTAATTCACTCGATGAGAACAAGATGCTCGGCCTTTAAGTCCACCCCAACTTGAAGTCGGTCATGGACTGGTTTCTTCAGCCCTTTACGAGCGCCCTTGAAGATTAGATGTTGATGAACTCCAGGCGAAGCCGCAGGCTCGATTACATTGACCTTGCCCATCAACTACACTGACAGTAAGCTTGTAATCTTAGATTTTCCGCCTTTGAAATGAACTTATGCTCTTGTTTGATGTAACAACTCAGAAGAGCTCTTTGACTTCACATGATCTTAGCAAGAACTCATGGTCCTGCGAATGGGAGGGAGGGTTCATCTTCCTTTCTCGGATATCTTACTCCATCCTTTAAGGAATCCGTTCAGTCCCTTCACTCTTTAGAGGCTCTTTTTATACTACCCCCTTTCTTCTATATCAAGCTCAAGGAAAGGGCTGGGGCCCACGAAAATCGGTTTCCACAAATTGCTCTCCACCTTAGACGCGATCAAGTGAGCCAATCTCTCCATCGCATTAGATCGAGATCGAACCGGACAGAGCGCACTGAACCCGACAGAGGGAGTTTTTCTTTGTTACAAGAGGGCAACCTGGAGAATGACTATTTCTGAGATTAAGGGCAGGGTAAGAGAAAGAGAAGCAAGATTTAGCCCTGAAATACTCAAAAAATCATCCATAGAAAGAGTCGAGACTCACTTTGCTCCCTTGAGGTGGGAACATCTTTCTTATTTCGTACCGCCACTTCGCTTCGAAAAGTTCGTTGGGTCTTAGAAGTTGAGAGAGGCTGTATATTCAAATACATACCCATATCCAGTCCAAGATCAAAGATAGCCTGCTGGAGATTGATATTGAGATCTTGCTTTTTTCCTACCTCTTTGTAGAGCGAAGACGGAGCCAGTGCCAGCAGCATCCCTTACAGATCCGAAAGTCAAGTCAAATCGATAGCGTCAGATCCACCAAGGGGACATAGACGAGAGTAGAGGAAGCGCCCAAGCCACATCACAGCCAACAGCATCATCAGACTTTTTTCGCAGCTTCCTTTCGTTCCATATCCAGTGAGAGTCCCTGAGCCACGGTGCTACGATGACACCAGGGGTGCCAAGGTCTTACAGAGCCTTTGGGACAAGACTACTAAACTATAGAGCCTACCAGTATATAAGATAGATAGGGCTATCCCTATCTCTATCCTTAATCCTAAGGATAAAGAGTGATGAAGGGATTTCTTAGTTTAAGTGATTGTACCCAGTTCACCACTCTGAACATTCTTGTGAACAAAGTCTAATATACTTAAAAAGTCTATCCAGCAGTGTTCTGAATAGCAAAGCAAACCTCACTGTCTTTGTGCATGGAAACCAACCCTTGTTTAAACACGTGTCTAGTTACATTCCACCTCTTCGAAGTTGCGTACCAATCTTCAACAATTGTCCAACGCAGCTGTCATTTTGTCGAAAAAAATGGATATATTATCTATAATAATAAGGAAAGCGCCCAACTAGCCGAACGCTTCGCTGCGTGGTTAGCAGCTGCTGCTGCGTCATACAGCGGGTCACTCGAGGCGAAGGTGATGGCAGTGGATCCATCTCTTCTTCATATCTGTCGTCAAGTTGATCCTCCAGCAAGTCTTTCCCTGTTGGCTCCAACGGAGAAGTCGAAGATCCCTGTGGCGCTGTCATGTCCCGTTACGCCAGTCTTCTTCTGTCTCTCCTCGCATGCCCTTGGAACGGGTCGCTCCGCCCCCTCGACCTCCGGTCCTCCACGGACCACGCTCTCTATCGCCTTCCGTATGAACGGGGAGCCTGCTACACTACCGTCCCATACTTATCCCAATCTCCGTATGAGAACACTACACCGCCCTTACTATCGTTTTTTGTTTTAAGATCAGTAGCTCAGTGCTAGACATCACTAGGGATATGCCGAGATCGGATAAAAAGCAAAAGTCTAGCACGCAGAGCATAAAGTCTTGGCTTGATTAGGACAAGCGTAGCGGGTGCGTAGCAGCCTTTTGGCACTGCCTTTGAAGATATATCCCATACATTGAAAAGTAAGCTTTCACTTCAACAGAGATAGAAAGTCGTTTATCAATTCCCAGCGTGACACAGACGATACAGTTGCAGAAAGATGAATCAAAGATTTTTTTCTCCGGCCAGAGAAAAAGGGAAGGAACTGCTCGCTACTACTACACACGATGTCTTAAGAAAGATAAGGCCCGGCCCGGAAGGGTGATCCAGACATTTTGAAATCGTGATCCAAAGAGAGTCCTAGTCGCCATAGTCAGAGATTTAGATGTAGTTCCGGATGATCCAGATCCAGTCGATTTAGCAGTCGCGCTCTTGCCCCCGAGTCTTGGTTTGGGAAGCATGTGAGTTAGAATGTACTATCCTACCGACTGGCCAGCGAATGACGCGAGCGCGACAGGGCGATTCATGATGTGAACATGACTTCCAAACATATCGACCTGAGTTGCGGAATAAGATCTCTTTTTTTTAGCAGGTCGAGTAAAAAAGGCACGATCTCGAGGCAAAAGAGTGAAAGTGGGAATCGGCATAGGGCGCAGTCAAGACCATTCTTTCAAAGAGAAAGGTGGAAGTCCTCCGTCGGTGTCCTCCAAGAAGTGCTTTGGAACGAACCTTGTTTTGCTTTGCCTATTCTTTCTTTATCCTTTAAGCTTTGTTCTTTCCGTTCTTCACAAGTTCTTTGTCTTCCACTGATCGAAGCAATCCATACCATGGGAAGATTGGGACGGTATGGATACGATCCCTTTTATCCGAAGGTGATCTCGACTCTCATAATAAGTGATATCATTTTCCTTGTTTTCTTGGACCCGATGGGAGATTAAAAGAGAGGAAAGTAGGTCTTTCTTCCTCTTTCTTTTGGGAGGTATAAACACTCAAGGCCCTATCCAAACGTGCGATAGAAGGCAGATACTCGCATAGGGTTTTTCGGTCATTTAATCCATCTTTTCTTTTCGTATTGGATCCGGTCCAAAGCATAGCTCTAAAAGCTAGAAAACCAAGGGCGCCCATGGATTCTCTTTTCCTTTACCCAAGGGGAGATTAAAGACTCTCACAAGGTCAATTTCATCGAGCCTCGTGATTAAAGTATTGATACAAGGCTGCTATCGGCAGGAGCAGAAGATGAAGGAAAGCAGGTTAAGCAATGTGAGATATCTGTCTTCAACAATTGTTCACTCTGAACAGGGCCTATAATAGGGCTAGGCTGGACTCTTCCTTCCCCATTCCCCACATTCCGGGAGTGCCGGCTCTGTACTCTGTTCGGACCATAAGACTTGCAACACTGACTTACCGAAAAGACTGACTGCTTTCCGGCTTCTGCCTCTACTAGTATAGTAAAGGGGCTTGAGCCTTACAACAAGCTTGACTAAAAAGGCTTGTTTGATCTATGATACGCTTGAACTGAACTCTCAGTCCTAGAAAGACCCCGCTTACCGTGACGGAAGAAAGACGGAAAAGCTACTCTCTAAGCCAAGCTTCCCCTTTATCCCAAGTGCACTGACTAGCTGACCTACCTTCTGTCTCTGTATTTCCCTAAGCCAACTTAGACAAAAAAGAATGAAGCAAGGAGTAGGGAAGACCGAAGACCGAACGAATTATCCGGGACTGCTTCAATGTTCAGGATGTGCGAGCAGATGAACTAATCAGGGAAAGGCCAAAACACGCTTTCGAACATCCTACATTGTACATTCCATCTGGGGTCTATCGTGTGAAGTTATCGTAATAAACGGAGTTTGAGGTCCTCTGACGCTCGAGAAAGGTTCAAGCCGTTAGGAGCCGACTGGTACTTCATTGAGCATCGTGCGGGGTACTTACTTAATTCCTGAGAAAAAATGAGATCCCTCTTCAAATTTTCCTTACACTCTCACGCTAGCCCTGGTAGCTTTCTTTCCCAATCCCTGTACCTCAGGGAAGACCAGCTGGCATTGAGTTGACCAAGGTACCTCCCCTTCTGTTCTGAATTAGCTTTCTTTTGAGGCTTGGGAAGTCAGGGAATGCCGAGTCAATCTACTTCTTTTTCTGACCCCAGCTGGTAAACTCGTATCCCGTCTTTCTCCTCTCTGGTAAAGCCCTTTTCCAGTATCCGACACTTCTCTTCTGAGCTTATTAGCGCTTTTCTCGATCACCCCCAGATAAACTCCCTTGCGCTTTCCTAACCCGCAACAACTATGAGGAAAGGGTCAGTAGACCCAGTGCATAATTGGGGAATTTGTTCCTCTCCTCCCTTTTGATTGACTAAGTGCAAAAGGCGGAAGAAGAGGAAGACTGGCAACCTTTCCTTTGTTTGGTGGGTTCGAGAATCAATCTCAGAGCTGGAACGACTCCGAAGCCTGAATCCGACGCAGACTCGTAAACCCGACTCCTCAGATTTGATTACGGTAAATCAGGACAGAAATGGTAGAACAACTGGAAGACCAACTCTCAAGCCATCTTTCGAAACCTGGCCCTTGCCCTTTCTTGACAGGAAGGGAAAGATCAGTCCTTTGGTCCACAGCTGGGTAAATAATTCCATGAGTTGAATGAGTTGAGGAAAGTAAGGTCTCGAAGGTTGTGTTGTCTTTCGGTAAAGCGGATCCAAGAGCTGAGACAAGAGAGTTCTTATCATCATCACCTACAACAATCCTATGAGCGGGGAAGTGTCCCCCTGCCGCTAATCTTCCATCGCTTGATCTGCGCTAAGTGAAAGTGCTTCGTCCCTGCTGCTGAGCTGCCTCGTGAAACCGGTGTCTAGTTTTGGATGTAGTTTTTCCGAGACATGAGCTGATCGAAAAGTGGTGCTAACTTCTGGTCCTTCTCTGTGGTAGTTCTGGTTCCTTAACCCCTGACCAATGATCAGGAAAGCGGGTCAGTCGGCTTGCCAATCAACTGATAAGATATGCGGTTCATCGGGGGCTTCTCGGGTGATCGGAAGGGCTTAAGGCAAATAGGTTGAAACCAACCGGACCAGCTGCAGCATATCCCGTGATCGTGATGCTTGGGCCAAGCCAAAAGAACCATATAGAAAAAAAAAGAAATAGCCCGAAAAGGAACTGCAGTGATCTTGAATAGGGAAAAAAGAATTGAACCAGCAGTGGTGAACCAACTGGTCGCTCCTATTGTAGAAATAGCTCCAGGCGAAAACGTCTTTGTCTCCTTTTCTTGTCTTCGGGGTGAAGGCTCGAATGGCGGGCAAGAGGGAAGACGTCCGCCCATTACGACTTCGAGGAGTAATTAAAGATTTTCTATTGTAAACAAGCCCGGCCGTAGAATAACATCTTATCTTCCAACGCTTCTTGGGGCAATTACACCTTTTTCAAAGAACTGAAGACGTTTCCAATACCCCATTAAAATCCTCCTGCTAAAGCAATTGTCTCATCTTGGCGCGTAAGGTCAATTCATTTTTCTTCTTAGCCGCCTTTCTTTGAGGGGGATTTTCGCTAAAACACGCACGGATGAGCGAATGACCTAGGAAGAAATGAAGAAGCATGTGGACAAATACGTATTTCGTATTCTTTTCATGGCTTAAGCTCAATTACATCGACCCAACGAACGAAGCGAAGCGCAGTGAAGTCAGAAGTAGTAAAGGAAAAAAGCTTCGAAAATGATGAATAGACCTGATGAACAAGAACAGGTGGACATGGTTGTCAATAATATACTTCCCAGTTTACCAAAATCGTCTCTTTACCCACTATTTACCAGACTGAAAGGTCAATGTAATCGAGCCATTGGTGCTAAAATAGAAGATGCTATTCAGACTGGCTTGATCAAGGATGATGCATCTAACACAGCTGCAAGATATAAGATGAATTTAAGTAATTCCTATACTTCATTGCTCGAAGGTCTAGTATCATCGAAAATCTTATTATATATAGGTTCCGGCTCATCAACCTGAAGAATGGTTTAATATACTTCATGGAAAAAGGATAGCATAAAAGAAAGAAGATATGGCTTCGCAAGAGACATGATATGTTTGAGAAGGGATAAGGTACGTAAGTCACTCGTACGAAGTATATCATATATAGTGTATGAGGGTCGATGTAATTGAGTCGCCAACATTCCAACTGTGCGAGAGGTGTACGAAGATACTAGATATCTCATCTCATCCAATTGGATTGAAGCAAGGAGAATACAAATAGAAAGAATTCGTTTTTGAACAGTGAATCTAATAAAACCACTCACGTAACGGTGTTAGGTCCCGTTGTGAGCTGTCCACAATGCCGGTCAATGTATGACTCTGAGGAGTTTAAGTAAACCTCCGACCACAGAATGTTATTACCCTTCGTCAATTACACCTCAACTTTAGAAGCGAAGTGAAGTTAAGGTGTTGCCTGCTTTCGTTTCTTTCGTCTCGAAGGCCGGTTCAGTAAGAGTTCAAATCCTTCTAATAATTATGTATTAAGGTGGCATGTCTTACTCCGCGCCAACAGTGAACGAAGTGTTAAAGTAGAGAGAACGGGAGTTTTGTACTCAGCCGAAACAAGTCCTGCTAAGCTAATAGCTCTCATTGTGGGGATATCTAAAAAATATGCTCTTCTCTTGTTTTTATGACTTCACTTCGCTTCGTTCGTTGGGTAGCTATATTAGTCGAAATAGTTCTTATTAGTAAACTATGGCCTCGTTATTTTTTTAATTGACTCCCTGCTTCAAGCTCGCCCATATCCCCTTTTTCCCTCTAAAAACTGACCGAGTCGGCCTGTGACAAGATTGGCTCTTATCATGTGTGAAGTAGATAGATAAGTAGAGTTCTGCGACCCTGTCCAATTCTTGACAGTCGATCCCAGTTGTTCACTAGATGTTGAGGTGCCAAGAATTGGCTCTTGATAGCGGAATCAAATTGTGCCTTCTTCGCTTAGGAGTGCCTTCTTGCTCTATAGTATAGAAAGTCTGTTTGCTTCTACTCTTGCGCTACCTGGAATCCGACAGTTCACTCATGCTTGAATGGGAACAAGGAATAAGCGGTCTTATCTGCTGGTGACGTTGCCGATCTTCTCTTTTCTTTCTTGGGTGTGGACGAGACAAAGTCTTCTTAGTCTTCCGCTTAAACGGTGATCTCTATAATAAGGAATACCTGTCGCAAGGTAAACAGGAGTTCCCGGCTCAAGCTAAATGATAGCTGCGCAAGGGGCGTAGCGTCTTGAGTTTAGGGAAGGATCCCTAGTGCCATCGATTTCGCTCTTGGAAGAAGGGAAGTTTCATTTGGAAGAGTGGGCATAAGAGGTCTTGTCTCTTTCCCGTGCTTGAGGAAGCGAGATGGAGGACTTGAGGGGCCGTAGGCGGAAGTTCGCCTTTGAGCTAACTCTAACTCTTTAATATGAATATTGACCCTACCGAAGAAAAAGCAAAATCAAAGGCATAACATAACATAAGGTGAATGTGAGGGTCGACGAAGTTGAGGTAACTAAAACCCCTTCAACGGGCTCTGCAAGGAAACTGGGGGAGCACTCATAATAAAAATCTTGTATTGGATTACACACAGTCTGTTATGGCCACTTAAACGAACTCGGCTGGACGGACAGCAAAGAAAGAAACTTGCTTTTTCATAGGATTTGACTTTCTGCTTTCAATTGAAAGAGTTCTTTTGGCCGACTTTCACAAATAGGCTAATTGCTCACTTCCTTACCGGCTGAAGCGCTTGATCTAGAACCTGCTTTTGACCTATTTGAAATAGTGCTTCTTTCACCCGCTGGATGTAAAAAAACTGGGTTTTTTCACCTTTTCAACTAGTTTTCCAAAGAGTGTAAAATACTGCGAAGTACTTTAAAAAGAGGTATAGATACTGGCTTCCTTAAGATCGATCCAACGAACTTTTCGAAGCAGCAAGAAAACGGATGCGCGTTAGCGCAACGGCTTTCGCGCTAGTTGCTCAATCCGTTGCTTGTTCAGTGAAGTCAAAAAATTAGTAAAGTTATGTCATTCTTCGCTTTTTAGATTGTTAACTCCGTAGTAAGGAAGCGAAGAGCTGATCTGATATGAGAGTAGCGCTTTATGAGGGAATAAAAAGAGAAGAGACTCCCAATAAGTCTGCCACAAGCGAGAACGAGAATTGGACTCAACTACGTCGACCCTCACCTTACAATATAAAACATAACTAGACTTTCTCAAATGTAGGATGTAATTCCAGAAAGTCCAACTCCCACTGCAACTGGAAGGGATTACCCCTCTACGACTGATGGCTTGAAAGACTCTTACTTGGATTGAGAATTTGCTTTCTCAAAGGAGAGGGCCGGTAACTGGTATTGAAAGGAGATGCCCTCTTTTCGAGAACAGCATATGCATAGAAAGAGTAGAAGGCTCTAAGGAAGTCAAAAGGGATGGAGGAAGACTAGCAACTACTCGTTCAATGAGAATAGCGTGAGGTCAATTATATCGAGCCTTCTGCTTAGAGAAGATTGGATGCTCTTTTTAAAGGGCACTCAAATTAGATCGATAGGCTAGCTTCCTTGAAAGACTCGCAAAAAGGAAAACCTTTTTTCCACCAAGGCACTCCACTCCAAGAGGATCACTGGCAACTACCAAAAAGGTTGGGGAAGGGAAGACTCCTACTATAGGTATTTGTATTATCCCCTAACAAAACCTATTCTCGTATTCTGCCATCTACAATAGATGGGGCGAGGCGAAGAAATGGCTTTCAAACGATTCCTGCGGGGTAGAACCTATTTATTACCTATTTGGCCTGTAACCTATAACCTTAAAGAGAGAAAATCTGGTTTGCTAGCTTGAAGTCTTTCATTCTGTAAGTGCTCATAGCTATACCACAGCTAGTAATTCTTTCCTTTTCTTTATCAACCGAACTAGTAGCTTGCTTGAAGGCAGTAAGCCAATACTCTTTGACTAGCTAAATGAACTGTAAGTGTGAATAGCTAAACTACAGCTGGCATGCTTTTCTAATTAAACAGATGGGACTCTTTCTTTTTGCTTTCTTCCTTCACTTCGATCTCTGCCACTCTCGCCTGTCGGAGATAGCCTGGTCTTTTAAAGTATACGATTTCCGGGTTATTGAACCCCCATTCCGATTGGGGAATAATAAAAGATGTTAAACACTTCAAGTTATCCCTATATTGTTAGCTAAAGCCCTAGAGGGCGCGTTCAACAACCTTTTCGCTACGTGAAATTGTTGCAAGATCCCGTCGGTTTTATCTTTAGTGAAATCTGCCCTTAGCTGCCAGGTGATCAAAAGAGATTACCGAATAGTTACTCAAACCATCCTTTCTAGTTATCACACTCAGCAAGAAAACGGATGCGCGTTACGTTAGCAGCGCAGTAGAAAGATTGCTCGTTCCTCGGCTGAGGCGGAATACAGGAGCCTTGCTTCCACTGTCTGCGAGCCTCAATTACATCGATCCTTCTCCGTGATCTTCAGGTTAACATCCCTTATCCCGTTTTCCTTTGGTGTGATAATAAGGCGGCGTTACACATCACCGCCAAAAGCTTAGAAGAGTTTTGGGGTAGAAATTGCAGAAAAAAGGTTGCTTGATCCAATTACTGCAACTGAGATTCCAGTTTCTAGTCCTGAAAAGAAAGTTGAGGAGGATTGGACAGCATTTTTCTCTCAACAAGGTCTGGGCAGTCCCAGAGAAGGGTCTGCCTGGGAGTAGTTGCTCTTGCGCTTTGCCTTACGCCTCTCTTTCCTTGCCATTAGTTTGAAAATGAAATAACAAACTATAGAAATAGAAATGGAATTTTTAGAGTTTCCAAATTCATTTCGACTCCGTCTCCGTTCTCAATCATTTCGTGGCTCACTCTGGCTCGATATAATTGACCTCGCTCTTGTGACATGCTATCTTTCCCCTCTTCATTCCCAAGTAAAGGGTGAGTCCCATGCCTGAGTCGAACTAGGGCTTTTTTACTGGTCGTGCTAGGTTGAAAGAAAAGGAAGGAAGAACGTCCTAAATGGAAAGCTAGTCTTCTTTATTTTATGGGATTGCCTCGCGAAATAGCAATAGAACTTTTCCATACATTTTTCTTTTAATTCGCGGCATCGGCTAACTCTGTGCCAGAGCTGATTCATCACCAGGGGATTCGAAAAGAGATTCATCAGCTTCGACTACTTAAGGGTCTGAGACTGACAGCCCTTGAGTTCTTCTTCTAGTTCCGCCCCCCCATGCGATACGGAGCCCGTCCACCGCCCCGCTTTCAAAGCTAGCTTAAGCTTATTATCACCCGAAAGATCAGCAAGAGCAAGAGCGTACCACCAACTACACCTGCAAGACATGCAAGACCCGGCGTACACCTGGAAGACCTGAAAAAGACCTGTTAGGTCCGCTTCCCCACCAGCCTTAACCTGCAAGATCATTATGCGCTGCCTCATGCGAGAAGTCAATAACAGGCTAGCCTCAAAATGAGCAACGATTTTTCGTTAAGCAGGTACGAAGGTACCAACTACAAGTTGAAAAGGGGCAAGCATGGGCCAAACTCGGCTCACGTAGATGGAGAAGTACCGGAACAAGGCTTTTGGTCTGACGGGGGGTCCTGCCTCGCACCATTGAAGACGCTTCGACTGGTATTCATTCTTTCAAGCGCTTGGATCTCTTCTATCATCCACGCTATTCGCTGGAGTAGTAGTCTATGGAGGCAAATCCTTAGGAGCGCAACAGCTCACCGATCCGATTTTTTTGAATCCGGGTGCGGGCAATCGACTTCAGTTTTCCAATAAATCTCTCTCTTAGCGGGCTCTAAGCCAAGGGAATCGGTAGGGTTCGCCTCAACAGGTCACCACCCTCTCCTCAAGGAATTCGCATGGGTTGGGCTCCAGCTCGCTCCTCTTCGTGATCAACCCTATCTGAAACGCGGGAATCGGTATCGGATCACTAAGGATCAATCCGTGCGCTAAGGACTTTAGCCTCTGCTACTGACAATGACTACAGCTCTGACGACTGCCCTACTTACTCACTTGCATGTCGTCTCCGGCTCTTGACATTCCAGATCTATCTTCCACTCGCTCTCGAGACCTGACTAGACATGAAAGAAACCATCCATCCGTACTTCTTGTCTCAGCTCTTGTCTTCGACGACGAGCCCTCCCCGTTGCGCGGCCTTCTCACGGAGACCCCCCGCAACCAATGTGGGCTAGTAGAGGCCGGAGGTCCACTTGCTTCTAACGTTCTGCACCTTCTAACATCCATCTCGAAATGAGCTACCTCGTTATGTTATTTGCTTTTCTTCTTCATCTCCTTCGTCTCCTCTTCAATCGGAAGAGAGCACTCAAACTTCTATACGTTATTCCGTCCGCGTCTTTGAAGACGAAAGGGGTTGATCCAACCAGCCCCTCATATCATAGAAAGGGGCAGGCCCTTCTCGGCATGATCCGAGGTTTCTTTGACAAGCGGAGCGATCAAAGCGGAAAGCTTAGGTCAATTACATCGAACCTGCATACTCTTTAACAAGGTTTCCTATTCATATAGTGCGTTCCCTTGAACCGGTCGAAGTAGGGCGAACCCTATTTTCTTTGAGAGCGGTCTGATTGTGAATGTCGGCCCGGTCAGTCCTCCGATTTTTTAGGGTTTCCAGTTGCAGAGTCTGATCTGGTCTGAGATGCCTCTCTCAACTATCTTTTATATTTGATAGAAAGACCCGGTTTTTTATAGCTCTAGTCCTATAGTTGGAGAAGCCCAGCCTTTCGTGATAGAACCAGAATTTCCTCCATGTACTTAAATAACAAGATTAAAGGGCAATGCCCGGTTCTGGAATAAAAAGCACTTGAAAACGAGCGACCATAATAAGAATATAGAGGGCAACTCGTATGGGAATGCCCGAAAAAAGGAGCGAGCCGTCTTACGACGATTCGGATCATGACTTCACTTCGCTTCTAAAGTTGGGTCCATCTCCGTTCCGAGCAGTTGAAGAAAATTCCCATCCCGTCCGACAAGACCTTTTAGTCGTAACCAAAAGCTTCTATGACTGAACTTCGCTTCGAAAAGTTCGTTGGGTGGGGAATTGTTTACAGACTGACTTTGCCACCGGTTCGCTCGCTATCTCTCAGCCACTAGTGGATTAGGTGTGTAATTGAGGTTCTATTTTCGGGAAGGCCAATTTCTTTGTTTCAACGAAATCTCGTGCAAGAAAGATGTAGATAATACTTGCTGTCTGAGCTGAGAGTGCCGTGTGATTATCCTTGTGGCCACGTCCTTCACTCTAAACCCTTCTATTCGAACTCTGACACTTCTCTCCCGTCTGGAGCGAAAACAACTGACCGATGATGGAAAGCTTTCTCTTGATCCGAATTCTTTCCTCTCCTTAAAAAGAAAACCAAAGAATAGACTCTTTGCTTGCTGGAAATCAAATCAAAGCTCTTGGGCAAACAAACTTTTCGGAGAGGACCCGACGTCACAACCTCCATCAAGTCGAGTCTCCTCGGATCTCACATCAGCAATTACTCCTTTTTCTCCTTTTAGGAAAGCCGGAATGGATTTTTTGCATCCTTCCTTCTTCGTGAGTTCGTTTATAAGATTGGGAATCTTGGAGTAATTCAACTCCCCTATTCGAATCACAGTTCCTATTCAGAAAGGAAACTCTTCCGACCTAAAAGACCACAGAGGTTAATTACATCAAGCCTTCTTCGTTTTGGTTTGCCAGAAACGGGGAGTTGCCTTAGAGGGCGGGCCATTCCAGCGCACAGAAAAGAAGACAATACGAAAAAATGGTGGGGCAGAGTAAAAATGGATGGAGTAAGAATTCCACTTTAGCGACTTCGTCTTGTGGAGAAGATAAATATGAAGAACATGAACAGGGAAATTCAGACTATTACTTCTTCTTCTCCCGCTCGTCCCCATGATGTGGTAAAGGGAAATGCCGGAACGAGATAAGATAAAGAGTCCTTGACCGGGGCGAGTTCATGCTGGCTTGATTGGTTATTCTTTCATACTGTCTCGATCAAGAAAAGGGAAGGGGGCATGAACGGACGAGCAAGGAAGGCAAGGAGTAGTTCCAGACGAGGTGAAGCTTGGAGGAAAGCAATCGAAAGCATTGGTACTGGTGGGAATGACTCTGTCTCACTGGCAGGCATCTTTCGACCGGGGTTCACTGGCTCAAGGGCAGGACAGGGATATAACTCAGCGGTAGAGCCTACTTCGTCACCTTGGCCATCAGCAATTGTCTTATTAGCCTAGCCTTCTGGATTCTTCGAGCCCAGGCCAGGCTGGCTGAACACATTCGATGTGGGAAAGAAAGAAAGATCGAGTGGCTATCGACGAGAGTAGAATCTAACTGGAACTAGACCCTCGCTAACCTACCTTTTTCTGTCCGGAGAATTTCTTTAGAAGTCAAATGGAAATTCAAAATAAGGCAATAGTGGATTTCTCATTTCGTAGTTAGCCCACTTTCCAACCCCTTCTTGATTGACTCTATTTGAGTCTTTATTCGATTTAGCATAGAAGGAGAAAACTCAATGTAATCGACCCTTTTAGAATCCCAGCTCAAAAGTGGGAATGCTCCTTTGGGAATCGGGCCCTGTCACAACACAAATTCCTATTAAGCTTTTTCGGGCGAATAGTCAGACTTGACTTCAGTTTAGAGTCCGGCTTTGACCCAACTTTAGGAATTTCCGATACTTGAAAGCTTGGTTGACACGAGCACAACTTTCGACGGGACAGAATGGGAAAAGGGCACGCCTCGCCCACTTGATTCACGGAATGTGACCAGAAATGGGGGAAATGTTGCACTAATATCATAGAATGAAACAATCCCAAAGCCTTGGCTGGTCATTTTCATAATAGAACTCTGAAAGTAAACGTGCTCTCTACGGCTGTAGACAGTTTCGCGAGGAGCGAATAGATGCAAGGCTTCCTTTTCGGGTGATGGGACTTTTTCCCTTTGAGGAAGTGCCACAGCTAACGAGGCTCGATATAATTGACCTTCACTTCGCTTCGAAAAGTTCGTTGGATCAAATACCAAACGAGGGAAGACGAGAGGAAGGTCTCCAATCACAAGAGTATTCTCGAACAATCACAGCAAAGCTTGCTTTGAAAGTTCCGAGTTGGCAAGAGATGGATCACAGACCAGGATCCGCTAACCGTCTTAGCCTGACCTTAGCGAGATCCCGGAAATCAAACCATGAAAAGGAGTGGAAACCCTAGCAATAAGGATGACTCTCGAAGGCTTGGCCCGTATTACATTAGTGGGACTACGGCTGGCTCTTTCTCCTCCATTCTTAACATCTTTTGCAACCTTTCGGTGGCATAATTCGTTACCATAGAACCTTGCCAACTAAAGCGGCCTACTCTATCGCAGTAAGGGCTTAAGCGATCGAAGTGACCTAACCATGACGAAGGGCCCTCGGTCATCTATGTCGTCTTTGGAACTCCTAAAAGAGTTTACGGGCCTAGCTCAACGAAAACCTTCTTCCCAGTTTGGACTAAAAGAAAGTAGTTGAAAACCGAGACCAAAGGAGTGTACTTTACTTAAGGAAGTTTACTTAACGAGGGGCTGTTGACACGATTCTGCTCTTCTGTCTTTCCTAGGGTGAGGCCACATCTTTTCGTTTCGACTGTTCACTCAATGATTCCGCTCTTTGATCCGGTACCAGAACCCGGCACTGCACCAGGAAGATAAAACAACAATTTCAGTAACCAATTAAAAAGGAAAGACCAGTCCAGTCTGTCATAGGCCTTGGTCATTACAACTTGAAACATGAGGTTTCCCCTGATGGATTCTAGACCTACTAGCTTGTTTTGCTGCTTCGAATGCCATGGTTGCCTCTTTGATAGAATAGTTTGTGTAAAAATAGGTTGCATATAGTACCGGGGTTGGGGACATGAGAATATAGTTTAGAATTCGAGATGGGATGAATACCCGTTGTTATCTTCTCCTCTCCTGGAACTAGAATGGAATGACTTGCGTATAGAAAGAAAGTGTCAGTCAACGTAAGGTTTTCAGCTTCAGGCAATCCCTGCGGGGCTTCCTGGGTAAGGGATGAGACGATTCGGAGATTTCTAATTTTCCAGGGTTGGGATATCTGCTCTAGCTGAAGCTATTGTTACAGCTGATACGCGACATAGACATAGAATAGAATCTTAGTTGTGTAGTACTAATGCGAAGTAGGCTTGGGGAACAGTTCCTATATAGCTTTCATTTCAAGAGCTGAAATAGGCGAAAGGAAAGAAAGGCATAAGATGTCTAAGGTCTTTATCTTTTACTTTAGGATTGACTCCCTTCCATCCGTACAAAGACTCTAACAGATGATGAACTAAAGGGAGGATTCTTGCTTTGTCTTTCTCCTCGGACGGAAGTATACAATAAGCCCTGATTTCCCCTTTCGGAACTCAAAGAATTGCTTTCTCGAATTCTAACATTGTTCATAGGTCGGAAGTCGCCGGGGAGTCCTACCATGCATGATGTGAAATCGTAACCTCATTGATCCCACTCAATCTTTTACACCGATGTCTCGTACTCCCTCGACCCAACTTTAGAAGCGAAGCGAAGTGAAGTCATAAAGCTATTCACAGATCATTATCTCAATAAATATCATATATGATTGACTTTTCTGAATGGTATCACCGAAAGGCGAACAGTCCGAATGTAGCTTCACCGTAAGGCGAGGAAGGTGAGCCAATAATTAGGCGAAGGGTCTAACGAGAAGGGGAGAGTGGCCGAGTGGTCAAAAGCGACAGACTGTAAATCTGTTGAAGTTTTTCTACGTAGGTTCGAATCCTGCCTCTCCCACTTCTTTGTTGTAGACTTCAGAGAAGAGAGGTTTAAAGGTTCGATGCATACAAACGAAGCGAAGTGAAGTCATAGAATCTCGACCATAGGGAGAGGAAAGAAGGAGGCGTAGGAAGGGATTTGATTCTCTTATAGGGAAGGTGAAGCTCTTTCTTTTTTTTTGCCGTTAGTGAAGTGAAATTGTATCGTATGTTAGTTAGAGAGGTTGGCGAACTACGGAGATCTATCTATAGATTCCCTATCTATATCCAATCCCAACGAGAATAGAAGCCAGTCGCTTCCGGCTTGTCTTGTAGTCGTAGTCTTTTAGCTTATGTAGTCGTCGGCCTTCCTACACGCATGCGTCCGCCAGAATGCCTCCTTGGTTCGGGACGAAGCCAAGCCGATACATACGATAGGCGAAGGAAAGACCCAACGAACGAAGCGAAGCGCAGTTCAGTCATAAAAAAGTCCTGGGGAACGCAAGTTTGATCGAGGATTGGAGATAAGGTGGAAGAAAAGGCTCGGGATGGATTTAGGAGTCTTTGTGCGAGCCGTATGCGGTGAGAATCGCACGTACGGTAACGAGGGGGGTTCGCGTCTATACGTGTAGTGTGGTGCTTGGGCCTACCCACCCTATTTGTTCCATGATCTATGGGTCTACTGGAGCTACCCACTTCGATCAATTAGCCAAGATTTTGACCGGATACGAAATCACTGGTGCTCAATCTAGTGGTATTTTTATGGGGATTCTATTTATCGCTGTAGGATTCCTATTCAAGATCACTGCAGTTCCTTTTCGGGCGGCTGTAGGACGGACGGCCGCCTATAGGTGGTAGGGTAGGGTGGGTGGTACCGCTCAGATTGCGGCCAATCTTCCTATAGCTTAGGTTCGGGCTTAGAGCGCGTGAAACTCATCACTACCTCGTAAGGGCGTTGAGACCATAGCATGTTACACGAAAGCGCCGCTTTCTCTGTAGTCTTGTCACACAGCTGCCCGCCTAGAAGAGCCACTCGCTCTGTAGTCTTGTCACACAAGATAAGCACTAGCCCGCCTGCTGGCCGGGCGAATCGAAGTTCTCTTCCGGTCAACTGTCCACTCAGTCAAGTGCAAAAAACACAGTAGAATCACGCAACGCACGCTGCTGGTGTGCTTCCTGCTCGCAAGGAAAGAAGAGCGACAAGGTTCAGATTTGACTGTTTGCAGCATGGGAGCAGATTACCCAAAAAATCCCTGGGAACAATGAAAAAAAAAGATATCTCGGTAACGAAAACTATAGGGGGCTGTATTGGCGAGATCCAACGGTGAACAGCTGCCCAAAAGAAAAACCGCCTGGAAGTCCGAGGACCTTTAGTACTCTACCCCCGAACCAGCAGCCTTCGCGCTAAGCAAGACCGCCCTTGTCCCTTTCCAAGCTTTGACTTCACTTCGCTTCTAAAGATTACATTGACCTCTTTTTGTCATCCCTTGGCCTATTGGGATAGCAGCCTTCGGGCTTTGCCCGCCCTTTACAAGATTCCGGCTCGGCCCGGGAAAGCGCTGGCAACAACAGAAAGGAAGGGGTCCATGTAGCTGCTGCGCCCGCCCCCTTCTTAGTCAATGGGGCACAGCAGGTTCGGCATCTACTACAAAAGAGAGAATCCACTTCAGATAACCACGCCTCTGCTAGGCAGCGTGTGGAATGGGCGAGAGCGGACCTTTTTGGATATATAATCCAAGTCGAGAGTAGAGTTACGGGAACAGCCGTCTGATGGAAAACGACTTTCACGTTCGGTTCAGAGAGCACTTTTTTCGTTGAGAATTCCTCGTTCCCTTTCGTGTGAATTCCCCAGCGGCGAATGAAAAACTTGTGGGGCCCTATCTATTCCATCTCTCGAGCCCCGAAGAAAACCCCCCTCCCCTTCGGACTCAATATCTCTTTTGACTCTATATATGTGGGCACCTGATATCTATGAGGGTTCACCCACCCCGGTTACAGCATTCCTTTCTATTGCGCCTAAAATCTCTATTTCTGCTAATATTTCACGTCTTTCTATTTATGGTTCTTATGGAGCTACATTGCAACAAATCTTCTTTTTCTGCAGCATTGCTTCTATGATCTTAGGAGCACTGGCCGCCATGGCCCAAACGAAAGTCAAAAGACTTCTAGCTCATAGTTCAATTGGACATGTAGGTTATATTCGTATTGGTTTCTCATGTGGAACCATAGAAGGAATTCAATCACTACTAATTGGTATCTTTATTTATGCATCAATGACGATAGATGCATTCGCCATAGTTTCAGCATTACGGCAAACCCGTGTCAAATATATAGCGGATTTGGGCGCTCTAGCCAAAACGAATCCTATTTTGGCTATTACCTTCTCCATTACTATGTTCTCATACGCAGGAATACCCCCGTTAGCCGGCTTTTTTAGCAAATTCTATTTGTTTTTCGCCGCTTTGGGTTGTGGGGCTTACTTCCTAGCCCCAGTGGGAGTAGTGACTAGCGTTATAGGTCGTTGGGCGGCCGGAAGGTTGCCACGAGTAAGTCAGTTTGGGGGACCGAAGGCAGTTCTCCGTGCACCGGACACGTAGCTTACCGAATCAGTTGCGACACAGATGGGAATGCATGCTACGAAAGATAGGGTCGAGTCTGATACATCAACCGTCTACTCAATATCCTTGTACGAGTCCACAATCACTACACGAGATGAACCGTCGGTTTGGTGAATTGAAGTTGGCCTTAAGTTACATAGGACTCCCAGTTACTGCGCGCGATCGTATACTGAGGTGCTCCCCGCCGGTTGTTGGAGCGACGCGAGCCGGGCCGGGTCTCGATTCAGAAAGATGAAGGTCAATTGCATCTTTTTTATGACTTCACTGCGCTTCGCTTCGTTCGTTGGGAAGTCATAGACAAAATAGGGGGTTAGAAATTCCCCATCTCATTGGGGGCGGAAAACGAATCGACATCTCGAGGTCAATGTAATCTTTAGAAGTGAAGTCATAGACTTCAATCCGCCTTTTCTATTTTAGTTGGGAAAGAACGGCGAAGTCCATCCGAACCGTCCAATGAAGAATAAGAGGAGAGCAAAGCGCCAATTGCGCGCGAAGCGCATGCGGAACGGGCACGGAGAAAAATCAGTGTGGAGGAGAAGCAGCCGAGCTCATTCCCTTCGCCTTTACTAATTAAGCCCAAAGCAGTGCATCCTCGCCAAATCAAGGATTTGGGGCTTCTTGCTACGCTACAACATAAATCCATTTTTTTTAGTAATTGTTATGAATAGAAAGATAGATCCATCCATCTATCCTATCCGATTTAGATTTTGATATCTAAAAAAGAATCGATTTCATTCAACCTTTGATTCAAAGAACTGTGCTTAGCCCCCCTGCTCATGAAAGGGCTCCGCTGCAATGGATGGCAGAGGGTCCGTAGTACCCGAAGCACTGGAGTAATCCAGTAGCCGGGAAGGGGCCTAGAAGTGCCTACTACTACACCACACTACACTTGGCTCTACACATTTACAAAGCTAACCCCTGTCCAGTGCCTGGCAGAGCGGAGGTCAATTACACCTTTCCTTCACTTCGCTTCGTTCTCCAAGTCTCACTTTGCTCTCCTTACTCTTTATCCCCATCTTCGCCCATTTTGAGGGAACAAACTTTTCGAAGCGAAGTGAAGTCATAGAAGTAGAGCCATGTATTGTAAGTGATCCGAACCTGCCCGGAGCGCGCCTCCCATAGAGGCAAGTTAAGTTGGTGAGCCGTATGATGGGCAACTATCTCCTTCGGTTCGGAGAGGACTCAGCTGTTAGTTAGTATCCCCTTGCTTTCGGGGTGGACCCTTTCACTCTATTTTATTATATACGCTTAGCGAAAAGAATGTTTTTTGATACACCTAGGACATGGATTCTATATTCACCAATGGATCGTGACAAGTCGTTACTACTAGCAATGACTTCCTCTTTCATTACTTCATTCTTTCCATATCCCTCTCCTTTGTTCTCAGTTACTCATCAAATGGCACTCAGTTCATATCTTTAAGTTCGATCATTGACAAGGTTCAAAGAAAGGGTGGGCTATTGATATTCTAATTCATCGATTCCAACCTCTCGGCATTGGAGCTTTTCCGTTTAGAGGAGAGGATACAAATCAAATAAATAACCATACTTTTTCTCTCTAAAAGCGCTATTCAGGCCGTTACTCGTCACCCTGAGGGTAGGACGATATCTTGGTCCCGTCATATACATATAATAGGCAACCTGGAAAAACATTCCAATTGCAGCTGTACTAAGGTTCGATGTAATTGACCTAATCTAATCCCTTACCAGCCTCCCTTCCCACTATAATAAGATAATAAGCGAGTTGGAGCAAAAGGTAAACCTATCCAATAGCCAGTCCTATGGTAAGCAAGCTCAGGTTCAGAACCCTATAACTAACTAGGATTCCCTGTAGAGCCATAGATAAGATTTTGAGATTATTTCAATTTGGTTCACCATGTTTTTACCTTGTATAGATTGACTTCTCATAGGACAGCCCATGGTCCACATTACCGAAAGACCATTGACCATCGCACATGGTGGCAGTCTTAAGTGACTGGGCAAAGGTGGGTTCAATCTAGCTATTGGATGACAAGGAAGGATGCGTTCATCTGTGGGAAGCTGGATGAACAGGATTCGCGAACTAACCGGCTTGCTCGCCTCAATTACATCGACCCTTCTGTCCAATAATGAGAAAACAGTACTTACTGCTTGCAGTATTGGGCGTACTTCCGCCTACAGACAAGGCCTATACTTAGCTTCCAAACCTTTCCTTCACTTCGCTTCTAAAGTTGGGTCGATGTAATTGAGACGATGGTCGAGTATGTGAATATGTGCCTGTCATACAATAGAATAGGTTCTCAGTCGGGCTTTTTATGATGTCGACTTACGTACGTCTCGTTGACTAAACGATCAGGTATGAGCACTCTCTTTTCTTTGTCCAATTCCGTCTTACCAAACTTCACTGACTTCTGACCTTCCAAACCTCTCCTCTCCTTTCGCGTCGAGCATCTTCAAACCTTGTAAGTCGTTCGATGTAATTGACCTCTCCCTTATTTTTGACTTCACTTCGCTTCGCTTCGTTTGTTCAGTCGACTCAACTTTGTCGATCCTCTCTGAATTTCTATGACTTCGCTTCGTTTGTATGGTCGAGTATTTTCAAACCTCAATCCCGTCCGAGTTATCCCGCTCAGATCTCCCCTTCTTAAGGTTACCCTTATCCACCATCATTGATGAGGGTACTGTCCTTTACGGCGGCTGATCAGCTAATTCGTAGAGTTAGCCTATAGCGGTATGAATAGCGATTTAGGAACCTATGGAACTGCTTACTATGAAAAGAAAAGTCCTCTTGCTACGCGACGAAGCGAAGGAATAAGGTCCGATTATGCCAATAGGGCTATTAACATAGCACCTGGGCTACGCGAAGACGAGAAAGAAAGAATTGCCTCATATAAAATATGTTCTTGGGGAATTGGATAGTGGGTTTTGCACGGAACATAGGATAGGACATAGCACCGCTTTGGCAGCTCCCTTTAAACCGGGGGGAATTCGTGTCTGATTCGACTTAGAAGTATTCTTCTTCTTCGTCGCTCTCGAGCTATAGCTGTTCATAGCTCTTCTATTCTGTCTACGATGGATGACCCATAAGTAAGGATGCACAGGAAGGCTTGCTTGAAAACTAGTAGAGGTAAAGGCCTCGTCCAAGATTCTATTCATAGTAGCATCTGATTTTCTCTACCGTCGTTGTCTACAGGAGATCCTCTTGTATCGGTATACCATTTCGCCTATTAAGTCACCTCCTCACTATAGTAAACCCCTACTTCGCTGCGTAGCTACATTTTCTCAGCTCGTTGGCCTTTTATTTGGTAGGTAAGGTCGCCTATCGGGAAATGTACTCAGCCTCAATTACATCGACCCAACGAACGAAGCGAAGCGAAGTGAAGTCATAGAAAAACCATAGGGAGAGGAACGAATACCCTTCCAAACGAGCTAATGGGCTCAAGGAGCTAAACTTCACTTCGCTCGCCTCTCTCCCACCTATCTATATGGTACCGCTGCAACAGACAGAGCGTTGGATTGCTTTTCCGTCTGGCTCTTGGTTGGACAGTCTAAGAGGTGCTCAATTACATCGAACCTTTAGTTCGCTTTCCTGCCTTTGATTTAGTTCAGTATTCGATTCGGTCAGAACCGCTTTATGGTTCAATGCTTGTCTGTATTCCTTTCATCAGGTAGCTATTCTATTCAGCTAAGTTTCTTTCTGACATGCTACTAGCTTTATATCTAACCCACGAAAGGGTCGATTACATTGAGCAGCTCCAGTAAGGTCAAAATCTATGAATTGATTAATCCCCATCTACGAGGGAAATTAATAAAAAGGAAATTCTTTTTTCAAGATTCCCGGAAGAGCATGTGTTGGAAAAATGCCATGGCCGAGGAGTTAGATGCTATTAAAAAAAGCATACATGGGACCTTCCTTGTTCCTCTACCACCAACAGCTGATTGGCAGCAAGTGGGTATACTGTGTGAAGTTGAAATCCGACGGTAGTTTTGATCGTTAAAAAGCACGCCTTGTTGCTAAAGGTTCAAACCAAGAATCTTTACATTTCAGTTGATTGATTATAAGATTGGGAAGCCTCCTGAAAAGTGAAACTAACAACTGGATCCCTGTTCCCAGTGAAACAGCAGCATAAGAATCGGTCAGTTCCCAGTCCTGCAATAAAACTAACCGGGAGCGCCTAGTGCTAATGCGCTTAGTAGAGTAAAGTCTCACTTTGCTCTCCTGTGTAGTAGAGGCTCGAACCTATGAATACCAGTAACCGGCTTTACTCCTGCTCTACCAGGTCCGAATGTGGCATCGCTCTCCGAATGCCCTAGGGCACTACCGTATTCTTTTGCCGCTGGTCAAGCAATACCTCCTATAGTCGTCAAAAGCAAGGGATAAAGACAAGGGGTTGAACTCGTATTCATATGCCGTTGTTGGTCTAGTCAATAGCTGGTTTTGTCCTACTCCTGTCAGAAGAACGAGGAACTCTAAAGCCACAGCCCAAGCGTTAGCTGCAGTGTTAAAGCGCTTTCAGTCGATTAACAACTCCTTATATCCTATCGAACAAAGCAAGGAAGACAACACCTACTCCTCATCAACACCATGACCGCTATAACCAATACCTGCATGAGACCTATCCCTTGTCCCCTATAACGCATAACACCCATTACCTGTCCTAACCCGCTTAACCATCGCCTTCCATGAGAAGAAAGAAGACAAGAGCCATTACCCAGGCATATCGCTTATACCCACGTATTGACGCAGGGAATCACCAATGCCAATCCTTGATAAAGCTAGGTCGAAAGCAAGAGATGTCCATTCAATAGGATTCTCTCTAGCAATGTTTAGTCGGGGTTTAGTAAGAGACTCAATTACATCGACCCTCGTGAAAAAGCTCCCATTTGTTTAAAGCAAAGCGGGAAAGAGCAGTCCAACGGTTGTAGACTTTCTGAGCTATCGTATCGGTAGTGCTAAAGATCCTATCCTATTCAGGACATTCATTGAGGAAGACTTAGTCGGCATATAGCTTCACACTGGCGAGAGGTTTTATCTACTCATAAATAAGTCCAATACAATCCCATGCGCATCAGCTAACGTTTCCATTTCTTCTGCCCGTGCCGTGGTTGACTTCTTGGATTTCATTTCTTTATTTTATGGTAACTTATGTTATTGAAAATTATTATAGATTCATTTAGTGTTATTACTTGACTCACTACGGAACTTCCTTTGGGCGAGCCTACTTACTTAACTTGATTGACTGCGGAGCTACTTCGCATTGCCCCTTCCGTTGGATCGATGTAATTGAGAACACCGTTTCTCTCCTTAGATTATCTAGCCCGCCTGCCCTCTATTTAATTTAATTAAGTGGTCTCATTTGCTTTCAAGCGGCTTGGCGCTAGAACACTTCATTAAGAAAGATCAGAGTACCAAAGAGAAAATCTTCTGCCTAATCCCTTTTCTAAGAGGAGGTTAGCTTCGCTTGCCAGGGGACCTGCTGCTTGTGGGGGAGTATTCAGAGTCTGTACAAGGGCTTTCCTTTTAGGTCAGAACACTGCTTATTTTGCGGAGTTGCTTGCTCTTCTAGCCTAAGTAAGATAAACTTTGGGGAAGATGAATTGAGACTTGAAATTGCTTATTCATAGAAGGGTTTTCCTGAGGCTTTCAAGCGGGAAGACTGACCGACAAGCGAGTAGAACGAACTGCTTCTCGGCTTCTTTTTTCCACAGTGATTGATTTTCTTTTGATTTTCACTTAGCCCACGTCATCTATCTATGTTCTTTCTTGTCCGCAGGCCTACGATTTGAGACTGATTCAATAGCTACGGATCCTCACCTATTATAACATAACAAGGGTCGATATAATTGAGCTTAGAACGTTGCCTTCTCATCGATCTTTTTCATTCCGCTTTCAACACTCGAACACTGCTAGCTCGCCTTTTCCGCCTGAAACTAAGAAAGAGTCGTTCTAATCGGCTGAGATTGAGCCCATCTCCTTGAATCGATTTCCAATCTCTCTTTCTTCTGAACCCTCTTCGCTTAGCTACTTACCGAGGGTATTCCCACAACAGCGGTTGCCGCTCTATCTATTAGAAGTTCATTCAAGGGCGAAAGCTAAGGCTAAGTCAGGCTGTTGGGCGGCAGGCAGTCTGAAAAGCGACTTCCTTTCTATCTAGAATATGTAATTGGCCGGAGATAGGAGTCTTGAACCGGAGACAGAGGCGCCCTGGCCAGTGTAGTATGAAGATGGATCTGACTCACTATCACACTTCCGCTTGGGCAGGAAAGGTTCTTCGTAGTGGGCTACCCTGCTATTGATAAGAAGTGGCTGACTCGAAAGTCCATTTCCTTCCTCTCTTTCAAACCTATCTTTCGCTTAGGCTTATAGGAGGGAGTTGAACCGACAAGCAATTACCTCTTAATCACCTCTTCCCCATCTCCGCCACCAGATCCTCTTCCTCCTAGGTAGAAAGCCAATGCCTACTGCAAGTACCATCAGACAAATGGCCAAAATACTGACCGGTGTTTAATACATCCAAGACCTTATTGATTCAGGGAAAATTGAGCCACCAAGGGCAAACCAACCGTCCCAATGTAACTACCAATCCCCTACCCACTCATGCTGTACCTCCTCCTGCCAATATAAACATGATCGAGCCGACATTGCCTATGTTGTTGGAGTCGTGAGTCAATTCATGCAGAAGCCAAGAACGATACATCGTCATGCTGCATACAGAATCCTCAGATAAAGAGAGTACGACGTTTCAGAGATAGCGATTCGGCTTAGTTCAAATAGAACTAAAGAGAACGGGTTCAACTTATCCCAATCCTCGCTCTGGACCAAGGTGCGTAGCCTTTTAATATTCTCTTTCTCTCTTTCTGGCTTAGCCTACCAGGGAAATGGCTCCTTCTTATTGATAGCACAGGTTAATTACATCAAGCCTAATGGGCAAGCTTCACTAATATCCCAGGAATGAGGAATGAAAGAACTTCTGCTATCTACTCACTCTTGCCACTGAGAGGGGATGAGTGAATACCTGTAAGAGAAAGTTCTCTTATTCCCGGGCATCAACTGCTTAATTTAGAAGTGCATACCCAGTAGCAAAGGTCGGAATGGGAGCTGCTCTTGTGAAAATATCCCCTGCGGTTGCCGTTCTCTAATAGAAATCCCGGGGGAAAAAGATTCTTCCGAACCCCACAAAAGAGTAGAATTTAGACGCTCAAGCCCTTGAGCCAGGTCTTTATTGATTGAGGATGTCACTTGCTACGATTCCGAACCGCTATGCACCTGTCCTCTTTCTTTAGCCAGAAAGTCTGACTTACCTATTTCGAAAGAGTTCCACATCTATGGCTATGCCCGGATCTAACTCTCTCTCTCTTTCCGGCTTAGCTTAGTGAAGAGAGGGGCCTTTCTTACCTAAAGATCATTTCCCTTTCGACGGGTATGAGCTTCTAGGAGCCCTGCCTCCAACATCGCTTATTCTGCCTTGCCTCTCTTCTATGCTAAGTTTCTTTCTTCTTCAATCGATTCATAAGACAGACGTCCTCTTTGAAATAGGAAAAGAAATTTTTAAGGAAAACATATGCAGATCTACGTCGTTCAACAGTCAAGTAAGAAAGTCAAGCTTTCCATCAGTCAAGCAGCAAAGACAGATGGGGGTTCAATCGCTGCGTCTTTTCTGACTCTATCTAAGTCAATTTGTGATGAACGAAATTCCTATTCTTTATCACCCGAGGAAACTGAACTCACTTCATCCTCATCTCTTGAACTCACTGAAACCAAGCCAATGGAGATTGTCGGGTAAGATGCTTACTTTGCGGGGTATGAACTCCTCCCTTCC